TGTTTGCACCCATTATACACTATATATTTAATAAATATAAAAATATCACTTTTAAAATATCACAGTATGTCTATCTATCACAATATTCGACACGTTATCACACGTTATAACGGTCGAGTCGCGCACTGCGTGTAAGCACGTATAGTACGTACCGCGTGACAAGTGAACCATCCCGCGCAAATATATGTCATTGCGCGCACACGATTTTGTTACAAATATGTATATATAGGGTGTCTACATGCTACATTTTTAGCATGTACCCAATTTTTGTTATTTTTCGCAAAATTATAATTACACAATTATTTAATATAATTATATATAAAAAATTTTTCCCGCGTTGTATGTGTCGTAAGGAGATATATGTATAATTGATCGTTTGCATTGAATGTCACTATTTTCTGAAAAGTAAAAAAAGAGAGCTCTCTCTCTCTCTCTCTCTCTCTCTCTTTCTTGATCCTTTATGCTTATTGTTAGTATTCTATCAATTAGTAATCAATGCAATCAATCATATCGTTTTACGGCAACAGCCAGTTACTCGTTCACTCACTCATTCATTCTTTTAAAATATGTCCATTTTTATACATAATTATGTAAATTTATATATAAAAAATAAGGGTGCATATATAATCATGTCAAATTTGTATATAAAACATATATATTTATATATATAAAGAAATACTTATTTATTACACTTGTATATATATATACAGGGTGTTCGGGAACTCCGGTGCCAACCGTTGAGGGGTTGTAGGGTAGGTGAAAAGATGATGATTTTTCCTCAGCAAAAATGTTGAGAAGTCAATAATTTTCGAGTTATAAGCGATTGAAAAAAATGGGTTTTTTGAAAACTAAACGTTTTGGAGTTCAAAGTCTAACATAATTACATTCTTCAGTTAATTTCAGGTAGAGTTTACTATAATACAATTTTAATTTGAGGCTTAGTTATAAAGATACATAATGACAAATATTGGAAAGTTGTAAAAAATGATGACCTTTTTTGACATTTTCGCTGAGGAAAAATCGTTCCCAAATTGACCAAAGAATCCAATTTGTGATCGTTGGTCCGTTAGTTACCGAACACCCTGTATATATATATATATGTATATATATATAAATTTATATAATTATATATAACAAGCACTTTTACTTAATTATGTATAGACATATTTCATAATATAATTCTGCGATTATACGTATACTTTTATATATTTCTATATAATGTTATATTATTATATACACAAATTTTTGTCCCGGGGTATTTTAAACTTTTATTTTCTTTTTCTTTCCCCATTCTTGTCTGTCTTTACATGCATGTTATTATGTTGTATGTGTATCATGTATAATTTGGATTTGTATGTATGTTGAGAAGATTGGAATAGATAAAATTTTATTACTTCATGTTTTTATATTATAAATGCAGCTTTTTGTAAATATCCGAAATAAATAATTTTTCTACAAATATTTTAAATTTATCAAAATATTTTTTACTGCACAATTAGACTAATATATTTTGCATTATTCTATCTTTATTAATTTTTTCATAATAAAATGGATTTTATTGAACAAATAATAAATAGTAAATAGAGAAAATATAAAATATCGAAAAGAATATATTCATATAAACATATATTTGTGAAATCGAAATTTTGTTAAAATTGACTTTCATAGAAATTGTATTTTATAAATTTAATTAAAAAAGCTGCATTTATCAGATAGAAACATAAAGTAATAAAATAATATATTCCAATCTTCACACACACACACACACACACACACACACACACACACACACACACACGCACACAACTTCTTATAACAAATGTTATATAAATTATACATATACAGGATGTAACAACGATCATATATCAGGAGTTTTTAGAAGAAAATACGTATTTTATTGAAAAATGTTTTATTACCAAAGTTATAAGGGTTACTTATCATTACATAGTAGTATTAGTATTATGTTGAATAGCATTATCAAAGTCACATAAAGATTATTTGGAAATAATGGAAACCCTCATTTTTTATTGCATGTACAGAATGAAAAATTTATTTAGAAAGCTCTCAAATAAGCTACATGTATGTACATGCAATAAAAAATGAGGGTTTCCATTATTTCCAAATAATCTTTATGTGACTTTGATAATGCTATTCAACATAATACTAATACTACTATGTAATGATAAGTAACCCTTATAACTTTGGTAATAAAACATTTTTCAATAAAATACGTATTTTCTTCTAAAAACTCCTGATATATGATCGTTGTTACATCCTGTATATGTATAATTTATATAACATTTGTTATAAGAAGTTGTGTGTGTGTGTGTGTGTGTGTGTGTGTGTGTGTGTGTGTGTGTGTGTGTTGAGAAGATTGGAATATATTATTTTATTACTTTATGTTTCTATCTGATAAATGCAGCTTTTTTAATTAAATTTATAAAATACAATTTCTATGAAAGTCAATTTTAACAAAATTTCGATTTCACAAATATATGTTTATATGAATATATTCTTTTCGATATTTTATATTTTCTCTATTTACTATTTATTATTTGTTCAATAAAATCCATTTTATTATGAAAAAAATTAATAAAGATAGAATAATGCAAAATATATTAGTCTAATTGTGCAGTAAAAAATATTTTGATAAATTTAAAATATTTGTAGAAAAATTATTTATTTCGGATATTTACAAAAAGCTGCATTTATAATATAAAAACATGAAGTAATAAAATTTTATCTATTCCAATCTTCTCAACATACATACAAATCCAAATTATACATGATACACATACAACATAATAACATGCATGTAAAGACAGACAAGAATGGGGAAAGAAAAAGAAAATAAAAGTTTAAAATACCCCGGGACAAAAATTTGTGTATATAATAATATAACATTATATAGAAATATATAAAAGTATACGTATAATCGCAGAATTATATTATGAAATATGTCTATACATAATTAAGTAAAAGTGCTTGTTATATATAATTATATAAATATATATATATATATATATATATATATATATATATATATACAAGTGTAATAAATAAGTATTTCTTTATATATATAAATATATATGTTTTATATACAAATTTGACATGATTATATATGCACCCTTATTTTTTATATATAAATTTACATAATTATGTATAAAAATGGACATATTTTAAAAGAATGAATGAGTGAGTGAACGAGTAACTGGCTGTTGCCGTAAAACGATATGATTGATTGCATTGATTACTAATTGATAGAATACTAACAATAAGCATAAAGGATCAAGAAGAGAGAGAGAGAGAGAGAGAGCTCTCTTTTTTTACTTTTCAGAAAATAGTGACATTCAATGCAAACGATCAATTATACATATATTTCCTTACGACACATACAACCCGGGAAAAAATTTTTTATATATAATTATATTAAAATAATTGTATAATTTTATACATATAATCGCAAAATTATAATTATACAATTATTTTATATAATTATATATAAAAAATTTTTCCCCGGCTGTACGTGTCGTAAAGAGATATACAATTCACCGTTTGCATTGAATGTCTCTATTTTCGGGAAAGAAAAAAAAGCTCGCTCTCTCTCTCTCTCTCTCTCTCTGTCTCTCTCTTTTTGTTTTATAGATTGCATACAATTTATCTTACATTTACAGTAAAAGTAATTTTTATAACAATTTACAGGTATATGCGAACAAATAAAATTCGTTAGAATCACAATGTCTATCAAATATATATTTCAGTAAAATCATTACTCGAATTACTTCGATGTATGAAAAATAAGATTTAGTTTTTATAAATTATAAATGCATATACTTATTATCTATAAAAATCATGTGAATATTATTGTATTATACAAATATAATTAAAATAAAATTGTATGTCATTATATATTTCATGTGTTTGATAATATAAATAACACAAAATTTTTTCTGTTTTATATATAGTTTTTTATAGAAAAAAATTGATGTATTATTTATATTATCAAACATAAAATATATAATGGCATACATTGGCTACACTAATTCAGAGGTTATCTTTTTCCTTCCAATGTCGAACAAAAAAGACAACCTCTGAACTAATGTGGCCAGTGTAGCCAAAACGAACAGACCTTATAAAAAACAGAAAGAGAGAGAGCGAGAGAGAGAGAGAGAGAGAGAGAAACACGTTGCAGCTCCATCTATCACGATATCACGCAACTAATCTACTGCTCTGTTTTATTCCGCAGCCTCGATTTGCACACACACATATGCGTGAAATGTTTTTTTATATATAACTTTTTTATTAGACTTGCAATCTCACTTTTAATTGCTTACTAATATTTCTTCATATAATCCTTACCGCGCATACTATATTTCATGCACAGACAAACTGCAAAACTTTTTTTATTAAATAAGTATTATTACGAACTGACACAAAGCAGCCGATAACAAAACTGTAATTTTTGATTTTTATATGATTTATATATGCAAACATAGCTAGCGCGGTCCGTTTTTATAAGTACTTTAATCGTGGAAAAGGATTTATTGATCAGTATAGTCAATAAAAAGTTATATGAAAAAAATAAATATTCTCGCATTCGGTCGGTAAAAACATCATTTAGGATCCCCTTAAGTTATAGTTACCGAAAAAAAGTAATTGTAGCTGTAACTTCGTTACAAGTAACTCGTTACTTCCCAACCCTGTGTATATGTATATGTCTAATTATATAATATTTACTGCAATAAAAGAAATGTTCAATCTATATAGGTATATAGTTCAAGTTGTTGTTAGAAAACAAATCTTTCCTGTATATAATATATCAAATGCATGCAGAAAAAATTATTAAAAAACACTTTTATTATAAAATTATGATATATTATTGATTTAGCTCGGAGCAGAACCAAATAATCTATTATCTACTGATGATTAAAACAGTATGTAGTTCAACAATTTTACGCATAGAGACGCACACTAGAGCGAAAACATGTGGACTTCTACCACAGATTAATCTGTGCTTCTACCAACTTCTACAACATAACGTGGTTATAAAAGAAGTGTATATAGGTATTATATCTGAAAATAAACTGAGAATATATTTACACATATAAAAACTGTTTTATTTAATTACAACAATTATAAATATTGGATATGCCGGTTCAACGATGCTGCTATTCGCTCATGTCACGACCAGCCACGATAAATTTAATCAGACGATTTATCTCGAAAAGTAATGGGTTCAATCAAAGACGTTTGCCGAGGGAACGCAATAAAAGTGGAACCAATGTCGAGATGTTCAGCTCCACTATTTTATCGGAATATACCGAAGCCAATAATTATAGAGATACTTTACAATCTAAACATAATCTAAAAAACGAAAACATAACTTCGTCCTGTCACGTTCCACAAATTATCAGCAATTTGCCTAGTCAGGACTCCCTCGATGATCGTGATATAACGTTACCGCATCCTCTGGAAACATCCACCGAGGATTTGTCGGACATTGGTCCGTACCTTACTCCGACCTTCACCTTCGCGAAATATGCGAACAAATCTCGTACGGTTCAGGAGCTGGTAAAGCTCGGGGTGAATCTATATAAAATCGAATCGATGAACGGAATGGTGGAGTACATTCTTAAGCTCGATTTCGAGCGAGATGTAAAACCGTACATAAGATTCCTGCACGATTGCGGCGTGCCTGCTAATACTCTGGGCGATTTCCTCACAAAGAATCCTTACATCTTCAAGGTAGACATGGATGACCTTCGCACAAGAATAAGATATCTGAGGGCTCATGAGTTTAACATAAACATGATACAGACTATAATTTGTAAACATCCCAATTGGTTGATGTACAATACCAAAGTGATAGACGGCAGACTTGGCTATTTCCAAAGCAATTTCAAACTTAGCGGTAATGAAGTGAGAACTCTAACAGTCAAAGCACCTAAAGTAGTAACGTATAGCATACTACACTTAATGGCGAACACATTGACTATTAAAGAAGATATGGATTTCAATCAGAAACAAAGGAAACAGTTACTTCTTACGCTGCCTAAAATATGGGTGAAAAGTAAGCGTATATGTTAATGTGTAATCTCAGAATTAATAAATGTAGTCTATCTAATTGTTTTCTTAATTATATTTTCAGATCGTGAAAGATTGTTTGCTGTATTTGAGTATGTTCATAATGAAATGCAATTGCAACGTGATTTTATTGTGAGAATGCCACAGATTTTACTTTGTAGAAAAAATAGACTCCGACAGAGGCATTTATTCTTGATAGAAATGAAAAAGGCACAGTATGATCCTTCTAAACCAATGTATGTTTCACCACGAGCCTTAGTTAGCGGTACAGACGCAGAGTTTTGCATAAATATCGCAAAGACATCTGTCAATGCTTACAATGCGTTTCTGAAAACATTTTGATCTAAAAAACACTGATCGAGTAATGTCTTGATATAAATATATAAATAAATATATATATTGATATTAAATGTATATTTACACATTCTCTATTTCTAGCAATTCACAACACTGTTTGATTTTCTTTCATATTATTTAAAGGATCCTTTAATTCTCTTTAATTGGTGATAATAAAGAATCTAATCAGTATTTTATATATTTTTTTATGTACATGTCATATACAAATAATTTTCTTATGTAAACATCTTTGTTAAGAGAGTTACATTGTTTTAAATAAAAAGCGAAAAAAACAGATATTTAGCGCATGGACATTACTTGTTGTTATTCATCTTCTTTATATCGCAGTAAAAGAAGAAATTCTAAGTATTTCACATATGACGCTAGATATTGCTATTTTCTAAATTTTACTTATCCATGTTTGCGAAACTTTTAATATAAATACGAAATAAACATCAAAATTTCGTTTTTAATGTAAAACAAAGGTGTAGCAAGAATCATAGTAATACTTTCCATAATTCTACTTATCAATTATTTTCCTAAGGCTGTGTCGCATCAACGATTAATGCTAATCCTAATCTATTTTTAGCAGTTCATTTCGTTTATTTTAAAATATACAAATTGTTCAAAAGATTTATCATTTTAGCAAATGCGTGTTTATATCAATAAAAAAGGAGAATAGGATTAGGCTTAGCGATAATTAACGTTGTTGTAACCAGACCCAAGTTATTAATTATACTTTCCTAACTCTATCTTCTTCTGTATCGCGCGCACCGAATGATAGAGTAACGAATCAATTAGTCCAGCTACGGTAAACACACCGCCAATGATGGCGCAAGTGTTCGTCGCAAAGTGTCCAAACGACTTTGCTTTCTCCGTGTACTTTACCATGAGCGGACTCAATTCGTAGCTGAAGAATATACCTGGCATCCCAGATTCGCCGGTGAACAGAGACACTTGCTTCGCGTGCCGCGTTACGGAAAATTGATTTGTAAACAGGGTCGAGCCGTCCGCGCGAACATACGTCGTTGGAACGATCTTAATGTAATGATAGAACATCATAGCACCTGAAAACAAGAAAAATCGTGTCAATAATAATGTTCCAAATTAAAATGTTCTGACTGCTCATACAGGGTATCTCATAGGAAATTGCTGAAACTAATCAGCTGTCATTTTTTAATGCATGCAGTTATTGAGAAAACAAAAATTGTGTTGGAAAGAGGAAAGTCTACAGTTTTTAATCATCCTATATCAGCAGTAGATGACTCGTTGACATATATGATCAGATAAAGAATATGCAAAAAAAAAATTAAAATTACATCCTTAAATATTCTTAAACATATAATTAATAAAAATTAATAAATTAGTATTATATTAATAATTAAATAATTATAATTATAAATTAATTAAAGAGGTAAATATTTTATGTTAAACTGTGACTAAAAATTTTTTGAATATATTTATAAGAATAAGATCTTTTAATTATATTTCTTTAAAAAGAAATTTAGATTCCTATAAGGGGTGTCCCTTGTATAGAATTTTAATCGACCACCGCCAACAACTTTTTATGTTTGACTGTACAACAAAATATTTCAAATAAAAGTTGTTAGATTTCAAATCCCCCTTTAAATTAAACAACTTTGGGGTGATCGATTAAAAGTGGATCCCGTATATATTATTTAAAAAGGAGATTTCTAGATTCAATTTCAATTTTCTATATTCAAGAAACGAAATTCCCGTTATGACATTTCGCGATACCCAATTTGAATATCCCGCCATACCGAATCGATAACTGTCAACGGAAGTAGGTAACGTACAGCGCAGCTGATTCTTTTTATCACATCGCGATTTCATCATGGCGCTCTCCCGATATTCGATATGAGTACAATGTGTTGAAAATCTTTGGCAATTTTTAAATAGCATTACGACTAAAAGTTCCTAAATTGAATAGTAAGGTTAAACACGTCTGATTAATCGTAAGTGCAACAGGACGTTTTAATAGTAAGTGTATGCATAATCAAAATAATTGCGAATGTGTATTTATGCAGTAATAAAAATCCCGCAATATTTGCAGTTTTACTCCAAAAATTGGAGTCTTCAAATTTGACCAGGAAGATAAATTTTATTTATCACGTTTCATGTGTTGTTCTAGCTTACGAAATTAAAAGTTTTTAAAAAATTAAAAGAATTGTGAACATTGTAACCGTAACACGTTTCGCAGACTACAAAATGCCTGTAGTACCTGGAGGAGCTTATCAACAAGGACCTTCTTGTTTTGACAGAATGAAATTAGGCTTTACAATTGGATTTTGCGTGGGAATGGCCTCTGGTATGCTCTTCGGAGGATTTTCTGCTCTTAGGTATTACATCAAACCAAAAATTGTATATATACAAGGTGTCCCATAGGAAATTATTAAAACTAATCAGCTGTTATTTTTTATTAATGCATGCAGCTATTGAGAAAACAAAAATTGTGTTGAAAAGAGGAAAGTCTATAGTTTTTAATGAATATAAATAAAATGTTTGTGTACCAGTTTATTTTATTGAAAAAAAGTAATGAAAAAAGTGCTAATAATCACATATGTAAGCTAATGATCAATATTTTCGAAGTGCGCACTATTTGAATTTGTACAAAATTCTGTTCTTTTATGAAAACTTGTAAAAACTTTTTCTACCATGTCATTTTTAATGTTATTGACAATCTTATTAATAGCTGCTATTAAATCTGGCACTGTTAAAAATATTTATCATTAGTTTATATGATTTTATGTGATTGTTTGCACTTTCTTCATTACATTTTATCAATAAAATAAATTGGTATACAAACATTTTATTTAAATCCATTAAAAACTGCAGACTTTCCTCTTTTCAACACAATTTTTGTTTTCTCAATAACTTTATGTGTTAAAAAATGGCAGTTGATTAGTTTCAGCAATTTCCTATGAGACACCCTGTCCCATATACATTAACTAGCTTGAATTAATGCATGTATTAATATAATATTATATTAACAGATATGGAATGAGGGGAAGGGAACTGATAAACAATGTTGGCAAAGTGATGATTCAAGGTGGTGGCACATTTGGCACGTTTATGGCTATTGGAACAGGAATACGATGTTAGTGTGTGCTTATGGATAGAACTACATATGGAACATTTTGGAGCTTATCTCCAAGCTACGACTGTATTGTAAGAGCAGACTGTTGAATTCTTAATAAAATAGGTTTAAGGAGTAAAAACGTACCTTCCAATGCAATTACAGTTATATCATCCATAGGGTTTGTTTTTCCTGGGATATTGAGACCAAAACTTAAATGTCTAATCTTATGCGTCATATTGAAGTGTGTTGAAGTATAAGGCTGAACGTCATGTACTGCAGCATTGAAACACAAATCCATGATAGTAGCAGCAAATATTTAAAAAATTTTAATTTTGTTAGCTTACCATGAACATGATTCACTGAAAAACTATCGCCCGGTGCAATGTGAAAACTCCCACCAACTCTATTCACTTCCATATAACCATAGATTTGGCAACCTTGCGCAAAGGCATGTTTGAATTTTTCCATAGATCTGTCATTTTGACATTGTTTAATATTAGCTGGATCTGGTGGAGCCCACTTTTTGATTCTATAAGCTTCCCGTACATCTTCACAAGTATTACAACATCTGTGAATAAAATTTTTTTACATAAATATACGACATTTGATAGATTTTTTTATGTATGAACAAAATCTCCTTTTCTCTTTTACCTCAGCGACTCTGTGGCAGCTCCATAGCAGTCTCCACAGGCTTCGGTGGAACTGACCTCCATTGCCTGTAAAAATATTCTATCCAATAATAACTAGTTTGTAAATAGACATTCAGTCGGAAGATACCTATAAAAATCCATTGTTACCTTCTCTCCAGTCTCTCTAGTTTTATTGACAGCTTTAGTGTCTGTAATATCTGCAAAAAAATATTTTTTTGTTTAAAATATATATATATACATATATATATATATATATATATATATATATATATATATATATATATATATATATATCATTAAAGAAAAATGTTACATACTTGTTCTTTGTGGATCCTCTATAGGTTTACCATTTAAGTCTAACCGTCTTTTGAAAATGTTGTGCTCTATATGCAAATGCTGCTCACCAGTTGTATCCATAGCATCTATCGACAAAACTAAAATACTGAATAAGACGAAAACTGTATCACTTTTATTTTTTTATACAAATGTTGATGTTGTTTGTACTTACGATCACAAGATATACTAGGAACTATTATATCCAAGTTGATTCTTAATTTAGAACCTCTGGATGTATCCACAAATAATTCCTCGCTCATACTTGGTGTAAGATAATAATTTATCTCCGACATAAATAGTACACCCATGATAATTGTACTAATAATTGTAACTGAAAAAACATTATTTCGTCATTTGCATTAATGTAACATGTATAAAATCAAGTAGTTTTTATCAGTCATAATAAAATATCTTGGTGTGTCAAGCTGCAAGTTTATTTACAGTGGGTTAAATGCAACTATTTTTGTAAAATATTGGAAAACACAAATAAAAAGACAGAATGGTACAAATTAATTCAACGAAATATCTGTGCAAGTATCGACGAAAAAGATATATTTGATAGAAAAAATTTAGAGGTTACAGTCATTTTGCATTGTAATTTTGAATATTATTGGTGGTGTAATATATAAAACAGTAATAAAATAACATCCCCATTTTTCAGTCTTCATAAGAATTTTCATTTGTTTTCGCCAAGAACACAAGCAAGGAAATCGCCAAGTATCGTTGAAAACAATAACGATTTCTTTACCGATGGCACCGCTAAAGGTTCTCACAAGAATATCCGCCTCTTCGCGCACTTTCGGATGCACATCAAGTTGCCGTAATATTTGCATTTTTCTCGATAATGAAAGAAATGACTCTTGCGCGACGCGCGAATTATAATTTAATGCAGGAAGCACAATATATAATCTCCGCGTGACAGCCACTTTGAAACGTGGCAGATAATTGGCTGGCCGTGCGGCTGTTTGACATTAGGTTATATTATCATTTTCATACTAGCTTATTTTTGCTTCTTCATTTATAGAGGAAGCTTTGTTTTCAGTGACAAATTTTTTTTAAATCTCTATGCCAATGTGTTCAGAATGTTCCGAACATCGAAAAATCATACAAAAAGTGTTCGTATGTAGTATGATATATAGATCAGAATAGATTTGTTCTTTTTAGCTGAACTGGCTACACTAGTTCAAGAAATGTACACTGAAGTGTTCTTTTTAACAGCTGCGATAATAGATTATTTGGTTCTGTTCCGAGCTAAATCAACAATACGTATATATATATATGTATATATATATCATCTCAATTTTATAATAAAAGTTTTTTTCAATAATTTTTTCTACATGCATTTGATATATAAATAGGAAAAATTTTTTTACAATTTGAAAATATAAATTTCTCTTAATGAATATCAGATGCATTTCAAAAGTAATTTTAAAAAATCGAAAAAATATATATATGTATACATATATATTTTGACGCCGACAATATACGTATTCTTTTTAAAAGTTTTTTACTTATTTGAAAAATAAAAACTATTAAAATATAATTATACGTAGATTAGATTATAAAGAGATTAAATAAAAATATTATTTCAAAACAATTTTTTTAAATAAAACTAATAAATTGATACATTTATTTATAGTTTCTAAGCAACAAAAGTATGTCAATAGTAAATTAAAAATTTTACATTGCCTTTATGAATTATTGATGTCTGATCTATATATAAGTATTGATTGCATAGATACAAAGTCCACAAATATATAACTAATGAGATTTGCAATTTGTTAAGTCAGCACGTGGATTGCAGAAGAGAAAGGATAAAAAATGTGTTACGCAGCAAAAACGTATATAGATGTATGTAAACAAATATTTTATTATCTTAAAACGATTAAACGCATATATTAAATATAAAAGCGACAAGGTATAATATGCGCTTCGCGATTTACATCAATATACAAGTCAGGCAATACAACGCTCTTTGGACATCCTGTTTCTTTCTCGAAAGCACGATTCAAAAGGCTATTTGCATTCGCAAAATTCAAATACTCGTTCAAATTCTCGCACACACACATACATACACACATACATACATTTTATTTGTGTACTAGGGCCCTTAATTATATACAGACTGTCCGGTAATTGTCGCCTCAATCGTCGTGTGCAGGTAAAGTAAGTTAAACCGAATAGGAAAGTCCTCTACCGTTTTGCGATTTACGTAATAATTATTGAATTATTAAATAAAAAGATCGGCCAATCCACGCGAATAGAAGCGCGCGACGAGAAGAGACGTCCTACTGTAACATGATACACGGCGCGCCGCAAAGCGGAAGGAGGAGCGAACGATGACTGTCTACGAATCGTGTTCGAAAAATCTTCGTGTATCGTGTTACAGTAGGACGTCTCTTCTCGTCGCGCGCTTCTATTCGCGTAGATTGGCCGATCTTTTTTATTTAATAACTCAATAATTATTGCGAAAATCGCAAAACGGTAGAGAACTTTCCTATTCGGTTTAACTCATTTTACCTACACACAATGGTTGAGGCGACAATTACCGGACACCCTGTGTGTATATATATATATATATATATATATATATATATATATATATATATATATATATATATGTTCTCTTTACAGTAGAGTTATAATATAATAAAAGTGTAATGGTTTATTTGCTAAATGTTATATGATATATAAGTACATTAATTACACATTAAGAACACTTTGATTTACGATCCGTATCAAAACAACGAAAAAAAATAACCTACCGGAATGTTCATTAACATAACAGCATGTCTTGCCGCATTATCCATAGTTATTGTTCTTCATACAGCTGATTTTCTCTCATTCGTTTCGTTTCCTGCATCAGATGACTTAATTTCATAAAATTGTTGTAATAATACGGCACGATGACGGAGATACGCTTTAATGAAAAGTCTGACTAGGCAACTCCATTGCATATTACCATTCTGTGTGACTGATTCTGTACACAGAATCATACTATTTCTATTTCTATTTTTTTTGTCTTCTTTAGATAACGTTTCATTTATCGAGATCGAAGCGATCATTGAATTGACGATGGTCATACAAATATACGCAGCACTTTGCGAAACCTAGTTGTAAATCAATGTAGATATATAATCTGCATTTTGTCCTTAAATAAAATAAAATATGTGCCCTCTCTATTATTCCATCACGTTTATGACTAGATCTCTGATGTATTCATTCGTGTTTTAGTCGTGCAGTTAATTTGCCGTTCACCGCATCACCGTCTAACTGACGATGATTTTTTGCCTGCTGTCGTAATTGGGCTCGTTTTAGGTTTGTCATTAATTGACTGGATTGATAAAGCCAACTAGCCTAAAAAAATCATTTATGATAATCAGACTTTAATTAAAGAAAGGATATATATTGACAAAGCTAATCAGTCTTTGAGCTATCAAATATAGTGTTGCTAGTATTAAATATGCTTACCACCATAATCATACAATTTATTAAAATAGGTACAGAGAAGACGATAGATATAAATAAACCTTTAGAATCAAAGTATTGTTGTCTAGAAAATATCCTGTAAAAATTATGAAAAAAGTTATTAAGTTATCAAGATTGAAAATCTAAAAGAATAAATTGCTTTATATTTGTACAACATGCTTCAATTGCAATTAATACATACATCCAATTTGTTGCTGCAACCTCATTGATACTTTCTGAGAAATAAACCAGAAGTACTGAAATAGAGATGACTTTTTAAAATGATGTTCAGAAATAGGTAGATACTTGTAATAACTGCAGTGAAATAAACTCTTACATAGTACAAGGAACAAAATTATTTGAAAATTTGCATGATTCCTTGTCATTAATGCAGTCATTGTGATGGCTATGTGAAAAGTTAATAACGCAGCTAACCATGGATCCCTCCAATCAATCTGTAACAAAATGTTTATACAAAATTCATTTATATAAATTTTACTCTAGAAAAAATTAATTTACACTAAAAAAAGATTACGTTAAAAAACAAATTTATATTAAAAGTAAAATTTGAAAAAAATTTTTTCTAAACGTCTGAAAAGAATTCAATTTTCACAATTGTATACTATCTTATTTATCAGAATATTTTTTATAGTTGCTGTTGAATGAAAAACAATTTTCTCACTCTTTCTCTCCCTCTTTTAATCTACAGTAATTTAATCACATAAGTGGATGATATAAACTCGTTACAAAAGAGAAAAAAATGAATAACCTAGCTCGCCTACGAAATGTAAAATTCAAATGCGCAATAAGGTGATCATCTAAAGAAATCCATAAATACTTTCTGGAAAACAAATTAAATCAACAAGAGGGAAGAGGGGAAAAGGGAGGGGATAGAACGATGAGAACACTCGACACAAAGCGTCCTTGAGAACGAAGCCGAGTGTGATGAAAATAGAGTACTAATGCATGTAATCGGCGGTTTCGATCAACGCTTCCGGCAATTTTTGCATATCTTATACAGGGCGATATAAAAAGCTAGACAAAAATTGATATATATGTATTTTACTTTCGCTCGTGTTATGTTTTAATGTCGTGTATCATCGTACACGCGACACCGGCGATAAGATAAGAGCGCAAAGACTTATTGCGATTTTCATTAATTTAAGAATGTATTGCATGGTATTGCATAGATATACAAATCAATAATATTGTCATGAATTTTTAATTGGATATTCTTAGCACTGTCCCAAATCGTGGTGAATTATTTCACATTTTTTTACTTGCTCGTTTAAAAATTATTAACTATCGAATCTTATGATTTTAACATAGAATTTTATGTAAACATTAACAACTTATTTACAAACTATAAAAAATCAACGATAAAAAAAATTTCATTTTATTATATAATGTTCTTTAAAACGTGTAAAAATATTTCTGCAAAATTTCGAAACGATTTATTTACTCGTGTAAAAATTATTAAATTGAATCTTGCGATTTTAACATCAAAAAATCGATGATAAAAATTTGATTTTGTTATATCTATATATGTTATTAATGTTCTTTAAACATGTAAAAATGTTTCTACAAAGTTTCAAAACGATTTATTTGCTCGTTTTGCAAATATTATTAACAAATTACTGATTATTAGTTTAATCGAGCATTCGGTTGTGTCAATGATGGAAATAGCTGAAAGTTAAGAACTTAAACGATAACAATTTTCTCTAAGATTATACAGCGTGAATAATAAACTGAATACATCATTAACGTAAGTATATACATTTCAAATTTGCAAAACGATGAGCGACTGCGAAATGGAAAGTGCAGCGTGCATCGGTGATCACGAGATCGACAGTTAGAAATTTAGAATTAAATGCGAAAATGTTGCATTGTGGTGCAACATTTTACTTGGTGGTCCTCTTTTTTATTATTTCTTCATAAAAAAAGCTTTATTTCCAAGAAATTTTGTTCAGATTTTTATGCCAATGTGTTCAGAATGTTCCAAAACATCGAAAAATCATATTTATTTTTAAATATCCGTAGTATGTGTGTGTGTGTGTGTGTGTGTGCGTGTATGTATGTCTCTTATAAAATTTATCACTAGTAACGCCAATTAATCACTTATTTTCAGTACTTAAAATACTGATATACAGTAATTTAAGTACTCGAAATAAGTGATTAAGTACTCAAAATAAGTGATGAATTGGCGTTACTAGTGATAAATTTTTATAAGAGGTGTCTAGTCACTTTTTTTAGATTATTGTGCAATCTAAATAAAAACTGTTATTTATGCATTTAATTTCTTTATTTTTGTAAAATTAATAATTAATAAACCTTTTTTCGAACAGGAAATTAAAATAAAATTAAAATAATATTAATCTCCAAGTTAGATGTGACATTTATTCAATGCGGAACATTAATTTTATTTTAATTTTCTGCTTGAACAAAGACCTATTAATTATTAATTTTACATTTCTAATTATTGAGCCTAGTAAATTTATATTTCTTTATTTTTCCTTCTTCCAAAGAATGTATCTATCTTATTTTAATTCTAAAAAAATACAATGTCTTTTTTCTCGCAATTTTCTCTCTTTCTCTCATACACTTGCTTCTTTTTTCTAAAAATTTCAAATGTATATTTATTTTATTTTCTACAAAAGTGTAATATAGTAGTAGCATAAAGTTAATAATCTACGATTGTAATAAGAAAAAATATGTAAGATATAATTGAAAAGAAACAATTGTGTAAATATATAAGCATATCACATTATTTGAAATTAAACATCACAATAAAATACTAACAAAATTTTTATTTCGGAGAAGTAAAAAATTACGCGATGCACATATATATTTTACACACCAAGCTCCAAAATCAAAACAATCACGATTTATTTTATTTAGTACGAGATTGCGTGCTTCTTTTTTTACAAGACTTTAATTCTTCAATTTTTTATGTAACCAACTTCAGCACAAAAAAGTCAATATCAACGTTGTCATCTTCGATTGCGACTGATTACATTATAGAAAACAAGAAATACACATACATACGTACATATCGAGCGTATATAAGGATTTCTCATGTCTATTTTTGTGTTATTAAGACATTTCTGCCTCGTGCACGCACACACACATACACATATATATCGTAGAAGGTTAATCAGTAAAAAAAAATAGGGTAAATGTGCAGTATAACACCTCCACCTCCGAATTTTCTGAAATTTTGTAAATTGTTCATTTTTATTTGTAAAATATTCTGAGAAGGAAATTCGTCGTTTATACCCCTTTTGATTCAATTTCGTAGTAATAACAGAAAAAAAGAAGAGAGACAGACTCACGCTCTGCAGGAAGGGCCAGATGCCATCGATGCTGTCCGTGGCTATGAACATCGGCTCCTGGCTCGACATCCCGGTGCTTCTGACGATTCACGGACCTTGCAGTAAATATCGCGACGATGACGGCAAGAAGTCGCCAGTAGAACGGGAGGGCAAAAAGGCATCCGCAACCGAAATCCACACACCTGTCACCGGCACGAATCACAACTGACTGACTGACCGGACGAGAGACCGGACCGAAGAAGAACGGACTGATTGATGAGTACGTCGCAAATGGAACGTGTATATGTATATATATATATATATGTGTGTGTGTATGTGTATATATATATATATATGCATACACTCTTTACATTGGTGAGTGGGTGCATAATGTTTATCCATAGAGTATATAACGGGAGTAAGATAAACTCCAAATTTGTGGAGTGGCTATTAAAGGCCCTAGAAGTACTAGGGAATGCGTACAGTGAAGTTTTCTCCTAGGATAAAATCGTGAAAAGTGAAGAATTTTACAATATTTTAAATAGCAATCAGGGTGCTGAGTTAAGTTAAAGTTGTGTAGTTAGTTATTTATAAAATTAATTTAGTTAAGTTGAAAGGGTGCTTGAACAAAAAATTAAATCAAAAGTTAATTTTTAAAAACATTATTTATATTAAATTAGAATTTTGTTTGTTAATTCTTTTCAAATCTCTAATAATAAATAACAGAGAAATTTTGATTTTTATATAGACGTAATATTTTTTGGTAATTACAATTGAACATAAAAATTAATAATACTTTAATTTAAAAGTAATACGTTTATATTTTATATTCAGGTATAGCAAACTGTCATTAAACGTCAAAATGATGTCATTTTGATGTCGAATGATGTTATTTTGACGTTTAATGACGTCAGTTTGCTATCTCTGGGTATAACTTATAAAAAAACAATAAATAATGGTATTCAGAGATAAAAACCTGAAAAGTTTAAGGTGAAAAATATAACTAGTTAAAGTTAAAAATTAATACATTTTAAATAAATTAAAGTAAATTAAAAATTATTAACTTTTTAACTTTTAACTAATTATAACTATAGTTATAACCCAATCCTGATAACAATTATAATAACATTTATTTATTTAATGCACACTTGCGTTTATAATGGATTAAGAATAATCAATAATTGAACATACATAAACATATATACATATATAATTGTTAAAAAATATTTAAAAAGTAATATTAAATTAAATTTAAAAAATTAATAGGAAAATTAAAAACTAGAAATTAATACACAAAATTAAAAATTTATACAAAAATTAAAAATTGAAACAAATAAAAAAGTAAAAAATTTTAATTAAAAATCTTGGCGTTGTTAAACTAAAAACACCACATGCTACAATTAATGTATTCTTATTACAATACTATATTATATTATATTTATAATTATTATTTATTCTTTACAATAAATAATTGTTTACAATTATAAATTATAAATTTAAATTTTCCGCTAGCTTTAACTATTACATATGGCGGATTGGAATAACCAATCAGAACTCTTACTGGAGAAACTCTAACTTCATCAACTAACGTTCCATCATCTATGATTGAAGAATTTTGGAGTTTTATTCACAGATTTATACCGGCAATATTATTGTATATATATAATATTGACATACACTTTCTAAAATGGCAAGTAAAACATTAATTAATTTAACTAGAATGTCGAAAATATTTCAACCTATGGGTGTATCATCCGATACTGGAGAAAAGACAGAAATATCTCGAAGTCACAAGGTATACTGGCCTCTTTTTTCTTTAATTTTATATAATGAATTGAAAAAAAAGAAGAAATATCTTAAAGATTTATTTAGATAAATTTTTATGATTTTTTTTATAAATTATATAATGGTAATCTGTTAAAAATTGTAAATAAAGATTGATGATTTTTCCTTTGAATAGTGTTACAAATATTTATTTGGAACACTTTGTTCAAAGGAAAAATCATCAATCTTTATTTACAATTTTTAATAGATAAAATAAAAGAAATCTTTTATTTTAATGTAATTTCAGTTAATGATTAATTATGGAATTATTAAACCAGTTAGCATCGGCATGTATGCTCTGTTGCCATTGGGAATGCGGATCTTGAATAAATTGATAAACCTTGTGGACAAGGAAATGACAAATCTTGGTGCAGAAAAGATATTGTTTCCAGCATTGACTTCCACCTCACTATGGAAAAAAACTAACAGATATAACTCTAATAAAGCCGAATTATTTACAGTCAAAGATAGACATGAAAAAGAATATTTATTAAGTCCAGTAAGTAAGAATTATATTACCTACATCAATGTATTTTTGTTTGTTTAAAAGTTGCTTAAAGGAAGATACGCCATATCACTATTATCACATCATGAAGACAAAAATAAAACTTCTACCAAAAACTGAGCAAACTGAATACATCAAACAAGTTTAATTGGTGCAACAGACATATCATTTATCTACACCAAATTTTATTTTAAAAATTATCAATCTAAGTTTTTTTTTAAGGAGTTAAAAAACTTTTTATAGATAAAAAAGTATAATCACAATAAAATAATTAAATTAATAATTGTTCCAAAATTGTATATATATTAAATTATATATATTAATTTCTTTTTAAATGTATTTGACTAATATGATAAGTCTTTTGCACTAACATAATATATTTACAGGGTGTCCCATAGGAAATTGCTGAAACTAATCAGCTGTCATTTTTTAAAGCATGCAGTTATTGAGAAAACAAAAATTGTGTTGGAAAAAGGAATTGTCTGCAGTTTTTAATGGATATAAATTAAATAAAATGTTTGTATACTAATTTATTTTATTGATAAAAAAATGATGAAAATCACATAAAATTACATAAACTTAAAGTAATAATTAATATTTTCAACAGTGCCAGATTTAATAACAGCTATTAAAAGAATCGTCGATAACATTAAAAATGACATGTTAGAAAAAGCATTATTATTTTTACGAGTTTTCGTAAAGAAATAGAATTTTGTACAAATTCAAATGATGTGCACTTCAAAAATATTGATCATTAGCTTACATACGTGATTATGCACTTTTTTAATTATTTTTTTTAAATAAAATAAAATGATATACAAACATTTTATATCTATTAAAAATGATAGACTTTCCTCTTTTCAACACAATTTTTATTTTCTCAATAACTGCATGCATTAAAAAATGACAGTTGATTAGTTTCAGCAAGTTCCTATGAGACTTTGTATTATATTATCTAGTAAAAAAAAGCTTTTAGCTAATATATAGATTACTAGATAAATACTAGACAAATAAATGATATTATTTTATTTATATAAAAAATCTACCTTTGATATTCCTATATCATTATAGACATATGAAGAAGCAATCTGTGATTTAATATCATCAACAGGACATATTTCAACTAAATTATTACCCTTGAGATTATATCAAATATCTAGCAAATGGCGAGATGAAATGAAACCACGACTCGGTTTCCTACGAAGCAGAGAATTTATTATGAAGGACCTGTATACATTTGATACTAACTTGGATAATGCAAAATATACATATGATTTAGTCTGCGAGTCTTATAATAATATTTTTAAGCAAATCGGCATAAAATATGAAAAAGGTATGCAATTAACATATTTCTAATTATATAATGGAAGTTTTATATATTTATATGATTTATATATAAAATTAAAAAGTAAAAAAATAAAAAATTATTTAATGATAGTTGGTAAAAGTCGTAGGTGATGTGGGAACAATTGGAGGTTTAGTATCACATGAATATCATTATGTATCTAATGTCGGTGAAGATGTCATACTTCAATGCCCCTCGTGCTATTTCTCTATTAATCAAACTATTTCTGAGACGACGAGTTGTCCAAAGTGTAAAAACGAACTACAGCAATATAATGCTGCTGAGGTAGAAATTCTCAAAAAATTTATACTTTAACTTATTTTCATTGATATACATAGAAAGTATCAAAGTTGGGTAGTAACCCAATAATTAATTAATTTTTATTTTTTTCATAACTGTAATTACAAAGAAAAATTACATTCCTATATAAAAAAAAACAAAATTTTTATTATTTTGTTATTTGTTTACTTTATATAAATTTTTAAAAAAATTAAATGATTGAATTAAAACATTTTAAAGTTATGACATTTTAATTTAACATAAATAATAGTTTTAAAAATTATCTTTTGATTTAACTTAAGTTAAATTAACTCAACTTTTAACTAAGTTAATTTTTTGTTCATGCAACTTTTAATATAACTAAATTAATTTTATAAATTATTAATTTTAACTTAACTTAGTTTAAAAAAAAATAAGTAACTACCCAACCCTGGAGAATACAGATATAAGCATGCAAATATTAAAGAAACAAATATGTACATACATTATATGCATAAATGATAATTGCAGATAGGACACACATTTTTATTAAATACAAAGTATTCGCAACCATTAAAGGCAATGTTTATGGAGCAACATGAATTGAAACCCTTGGTAATGGGTTGTTTTGGTCTAGGATTAAGTCGAATTCTTATGTTAACTGTTGAAATCTTATCAACAAATAACGAGATAAGATGGCCAGTGAAATTAGCACCATATACAGTATGCATAATACCACCAAAGGTAATAATAATAAAGATTTTTTTCTTTTCATTAAAGATCATGCTTTATTATACAGGGTGATCCATTTTAATTGACCCAGGCAAATATTTTAAAAATTATGAGACAAAAAAGTGTTTCACACAAAAGTTTTTTGACATAAAATGGTGTCATGTAATTTGACCTTGTATATAATCATTTGAAGGTCATGTAAAGGTCACCTTCAATTTCTTAAATAGAACCTACTATTTTTCACCATATATTCTTGTAGTTTATCTCGAAAACTTTCCAAAACACTATAACAAAATATTTTTCTCTTAAGTTAACTTCAAACTTTAATAACTCAAAAAGTACTTAAGAGAAAAAGACTTTATTACAGTGTTTTGGAAAGCTTTCGAGATAAGCGATAAGAATATGTGATGATAAATAGTAGGTTCCATTTAAGAAATTGAAGGTGACCTTCATATGACCTTTAAATGATTATATAAGGTCATATCAATGACACTATCTTATGTCCCTCTCAAATTAAAAAAACTTTTATTTGAAATATTTTTTCGTATCTCTCATAGTTTTAGAAATATGTGCCTGGGACGATTAAAATAAATCACCCTGTATACCGAATTATTTACAGGCTGGTAGTAAAGAAGAAAACGCCTCTAATTATGTTGAGCGGCTGTTCGAAATTCTCTGCAAACACGATATCGACGTAATACTGGATGATCGTACAAATTTAACGATCGGTAAACGATTTGTATTTGCGCGTGCAGTAGGCTATCCTTATGTAATTATTGTTGGCAAAGCTGCAACTCGATCAATACCCTTATTCGAAGTACACGATATAAACAATTCGGTTTGCAATGACTTATCATTGGAACAGATAAGTCATTATTTTGACAGTATAAATTTAAAAAATTAGACAGACATGTATAGTATTCATTTAGAAAATAAAAATAAGATACTAATATGTGCATATTGTATATTATTTAAATTTTATATATATAAAATATATATTTACAATAAATACAATAATTGGTTATGTATATAGCTTTGTACATAAAATATTGATTTCTTATCATGTATAAAGCGACCTAAGAAATGTTTTGTAAACTAATTTTTAATAAAGCATAGGATCAATTAAAAAGGAAAAATTTATCAATATTTAATTAATTATAAGTATTCATATATGCTAATCATAATACTAATTGTTGAGATTTTAATTTTATAAATAATAACTAAAAATTTAGATTATTTTTTATGCATATAAATATTTCAGAATATTTCTCACTTCTAATATCATAATTTAACGTGATATCAATGAAAAATAAAAATTTTAAGTAAGTTTAGAACGGAAGCTGGTTTGTGATATAAGGATATATATTAAAAAAATAACAGTAATAACCACAATGTTGAAAATATATTGCAATGTATACGCTCTTACATTATGAGATATTTGAAAGCTCTTCTAATATAATTTGTGTATCTAAACTGTTAAGATCTATTGAAGCCCGTGTATCTACTATCACCCCAGTTACCTGAAAATAATGTTTAAAAATATTATTCATGTTTTTCGATTGATGTAATTATGCACACATATGTATAAAAATTTAATTGAATTAAATTCAAATTCAAGCATTTTTTCAAATATACAGAGTGTCCCATTTTAATTGATCATCCTAAAATTTTTTTAAATTTTTGATTGGAATATATCTCGTAAAATATTAATTTTTCGATAATCTTACCTCAATACTTTCATGCACAAAACAACGAAAAGAATCAATTGGTGTAAAGAAAATACATGTTGTAGTTGTTCTAAAATAAAATATGTAAATTGCGATTAGCAGTTACATATTTTTTCTTACAAACAAGTATGTTTATTTATCAATTAATTCTTTTCATTATTTTATGCATAAAAGTATTCAAAAAAGTTTGTTGAAAAATAAATATTTTACAAAATATTTTATAGTTTATGTAAAATGTCAAATTTTTAAGTTATAAAATATCTCGTAAACTATTCATTTTTTTGTTCCATTTAAAAAAACAAATGACTTTCAAATAACCTTGAAAAACACCCTTTCTTTAGAAAGTCTGTAGCATCATCTTCTGTCCCCCTTCAAATCAAACAACTTTTGTTTGAAACATTTTGTTGTGCAATTAAAAATGAAAAAATTTTTTGGGGATGATTGATTAAAATATGACACCCTGCACATACAAAATACATGTATAACAATTTTGTATATCTTATTATTGTATATAATTACCATTTCCTCAAAAAATGCAGTATGATTAGGCTTTTCCGAATATCTCTCGTACTGATCCAGATTATCTTGTAATTTTAAAGCAAGACTGTCATAATTTTGTATTATGATAGCTAAAATTTGTTGTTCCGTTGGTGTTGACAAACTCTCTTTTGCCAGCCACGCAGCTATCTTTGGAGGAAAATGATTTACTATATCCCTCACATTCACAAGAGAATTTGTCAATTTAAGTGCATGTTCTTTGTACTCGTATGATTCACTAGTGGAATACCTCAGTGCTAAAATATATTTCCATATTTTGTTATATAACATCAACATATTTTTTATTTATAAGCCTATCAAAATGTTCACATTATTATCAGATTATTATCACTTACCCATAGCATTTAAATTGGTAAAGATAAGCCTCATACGAATAATTTCATAAAATAATTCATCATAACTATTTGGTGATGACAGGAATGTATCAGCATATGTAATGAAAAAGTTCAAAATGTTTACCACCTGTTTTGAAAATTAACAAAAGTATTATTTCATTCAATCATACATGTTGATATCAATTTTTCAATTCTCTACCTGAATAGCTAAGGGAAATATGTTCATTTTCTTAATGAGATGACTTTCATGTGTTGTTAAAAATTTCAGCAAATTGATTAATGCAGTCCAAAGATCTCGCCACTGATAACCAAGTCTGACCCGACATCTTTTCTGGTAACATAGCAGTCTTTGTAGAACTCCGATACATTGATGATATAACTCAAGTGGAAATTTCTTCATCATATGTGATGTTACAAATTCAACGAGCAGATCTATAATTATGATAAATAATAATAAAAAGCACAATTATATATATATATATATATATATATATATATATATATATATATATATACAAGGTGGGGAAAAAATATGGAAACCCTAAAAAAAATCTCGAAAAATATAAGTTTTACAGAAAAATGTTTCGTATAAAAGTTGTAGGGCTTAAAAAACCTATTTACTAATCTTATTAGTATATAATCTTGATTTTATATATATATAATCTTGATAAATATGTGTTATAATGAAGAACAAGAGAGCCATTTTATTTAATTACAACTCATCTAAAATAAAATCTAAATTTAATTAAACAATTTAAGCACGCAATTCTTGAAACCATATACTAGAAGAAAATACCGAGTAACGTGGCTGCAAGTGGTTGAGCAGGTGCTGCTTTATCCTGCAATTTTCTATGATGCATAGGTACTCGATGTAACTGAACTCTAAACGCCAGATTTGCATCATGCATCAAACTGTTCGCGTATTGATCCTCCGCAATACAGCTTAGTATCAAGAAGCATAATTTCACATTATTCATTATAGCTTCTGTTCTAATAACTTGCATAACTATTGAACTGTAACACCAACCAAATATTTTACAATTGTTAAACGACGAATTATTAAATATATATGTATATATACACATAAAAACAGGGTATCCCTTTTAATCGATCACCCCAAAATTTCTTTTATTTTTTACTGTACAAATGTTTTAAATAAAAGTTGTTTGATTTTAAGGGGACTAGAAAGTGGTACTATTGGTTTTTTTAAAGGACGCTTTTCAAGGTCATTTAATGGTCAATGTTTTTTTAAATATATATATATATATATAATTTTTTTGTTACATACCCTTTAGAAAAAAATCTGTAGTACCATCTTCTGTCCCTCTTCAATTCATACAAATTTTGTTTGTTTGAAACATTTTTGTTGTATGTACAATCAAAAATAAAAATGTTTTAGCGAGTGATCGATTAAAATGGGACACCCTGTATACATATATGTCTAAATATGTACATATTCATTTATTAATTTTTTTTCTCACCAGTACTGCAGAAAAGTTGCTAACAAATTGAACGGTTGAGCCATTACATCGGGTGGCGAAGCACCAGGAGCCACCGCATTCGGACCCAAAGTATTATTCGGCGACGGAGGTGCACTGGTATCGCTTTGCGTATAGGCCAGGGTAGTTACAAAATTACGATTTAAGTGCGTAGCCTCGTACAGAGCTAAAAGTAAAGCATTGTTCGCGCGAACTTGTTGCGTTTTCGCTTCCTCCTCTCCAACAAACATGCTACCGACTATACTAGTCAAAGAGGACAACCAAGATGCTTGTATCTCTGGAAAAATAATTATTGTATTAAAAAAACATTTACATATCATATATTGTATTATGTAAATTTATAAAATGCCCTGTAAAAGAGTAATCTAGTCTTCTCTTTATTTTTAAATATTATATATTTTTTAAGATATATATATATATATATATATATATATATGTATATATATTAAATTTAAATTATATAAAATTTGACGAGAAATTGATGAAGAAATTTCTAATTGGAAGAAAAAAATATTTTTTTTATTATATCTTACGATACCTGCTCTTTGTTGAGCAAATTGTCGACAAAACTCCGTTAATGAACTTGATATAGCTTGTCCATATCCATTGAGGGCCAACTCATCATCCAAAATTGACAATTTTACAATATACGGATTTGCACTTTCATATTTTCTATAGTTGACTAATAATGTTAATAATAAAACCACATCATGGCCATGGCGATTCCTCGTAGCCGTATCTCTTAATAACTACATTATGACATTAAATCAGTGTTAGAATTAATATAAAAAATATTACATACAAATTTTAGAAATGTAGAAAAATAACGTATAAAACTTATAAATATATCTAACATACTTGAATTAGCGACTCAAAAACACTACTTAGCATTACATATTCCAATAAGGTATTTTGGCTGATATTGTCCATACCAGTAACAATTATTAACAATAATTTCAGGCACAAAGCTTTCAAACTATCTGGATATTCACCTAAAAAGTGTTACATTCTTTTCTTATTAATTTTTATTATCTTATTTTGCTAATTAAAATGTAAAATATACAGGATGGCTTATTTTAATTTATCCAGTCAAATATCTCAAAAAGTTGTAGAAAAAAACTTGTAAGTTTAAAAAAATTTTAGACAAAAATTGTTTGATTTAAAGAAGGAAAAAAATTGTAAGGAATTAGTTTAAATAAAAAAAAAAAAAAAAAGGAGTAGTGTCCTTTCCAAATGGCCTTGAAAAGGGTCTTTCAGACAAAAGTTAGTAGCGCCATCTTCTCCCCCTTCAAAAATCAAACAATTTTTGACTATAAAATTTTTTTTCTAAAATTTACAAATTTTAAGATATTCGAATAGATAAATTAAAACAAGCCACCCTGTATAAATATTTAGAATTATTAAATAATTATTTATGCATATCTCTCCTACCTGTCAAAAAATTATTGCAATGTTGCATTAATGTTGTCATTCTCTGCTCTGCAGAATCAAAGCCTACTAGAATATCTATTAAATTAAATCCATAGTCTACTTGGTTAGCCTTTTTATACATGGATTGGATAACTGCTGCCAAAGTTTGCAACGCATATACTATTCTAAATGGATGTTCATCGACCAATGTATCAACACAATGGCATACCAATGCATTCAAATTTTCTTTGCTAGCATTTAATTGCTCCGATGTCATATGCAAAATTTCATTCTCAATATGGGGTACCTAAAATATTATATTTATTTTTGCTTATTCTCCAATCTTTAAGAAATAACACACACACACACACACACACACACACACACACACACACACACACACACACGCACACACACACACGCACACACACACACACACATATATATATATATACAGGATGTCCGGTAACTAACGAGACCAACAATTACAAGTGGATTCTTTGGTCAATTTGGGAACGATTTTTCCTCAGCAAAAATGTCGAAAAAGGTTATCATTTTTTACAACTTTCCAATATTTGTTATTATGTATCTTTATAACTAAGCCTCAAATTAAAATTTTATTATAGTAAACTCTACCTGAAATTAACTGAAGAACGTAATTATGTTAGACTTTTAACTCCAAAACGTTTAGTTTTCAAAAAACCCATTTTTTTCAATCGCTTATGACTCGAAAATTATTGACTTCTCAACATTTTTGCTAAGGAAAAATCGTCTTCAAATTGGCCTGAGAATCCGCCCTTAATCATTGGTCCGTTAGTTACCGGACACCCTGTATATATATATATATATATATATATATATATATATATATATATATATATATATATATATATATCAGTGACAATTTAATATATATAACATAAATATAGTAATCAAATTATTTATATATCAAAAATATATAAATTAATATATAAATTAATTCATAATCTCTATCTCTATATATTATATAAAAATATGTCATATTTGTTTGAAATGCTTCATTAGTTGAGGTCGTAGTAATAAAAGTATTTATGTATAAACAATAGCAATTAAGCTATGGTAATTTAAGTCTACACAATCCATAAATAGTAATAGAGTACAGATAAAACGAGAGCAGATTACTTGTTGCAGCTATTAACGTTACTGCTTTAAAAAAAATATGTGTATATATATACTAAAAAATACATACCATAGGTTTAATAAGAAACAACTCATTCCAAAAATTTGGATGAGCTAGAGTTAAATCTTCACCTTTGAAGAAACTCTCGTAGATTGGTACCAGCTTGCATTTGTGTTGACGCTTGGCACCAGAGCCACTCCTTTTTCTCATAGCCATTGCATAGAGCAAATTATTTTTTACTGTTCATAATAAAATCTATAAGAATATATAATATTTAAAAATAATTTTTTTAAACACAATAATATATACATAATAACCTTAATGCGTGATTTTGACATTTTAAAAATTACTTGTCAAAAAAAGAGAAAATACATCTAATCACATGTCTAATATCAAATTTGCATTTCTCTTACTTCTTTCGTTATAGTTAATATAAATATCTTTTTTACACATTTATTTATTAAAATCTGAAAATCTTAGTAAATAACATAAATTCAACCATTAATATATATTTTTAAAATCTAAAATTTACACAAATGTCAAGTTATAGAATAGTGAAAGATTATTCAATATAGAATACTTACCAATTTCTTAAAGTTTAATAATTTAATAATTATAATAAATATAATTAAAATATCATATATCGAATAATTAAAATTTAATTAAGAAAATTGTTTATACGCAAAATTATTCAATTAAAAAAATTTTTCAAGGTTATAACTCGTTATGTCAGCTGGAATGCAACCTGCTTGAATTAACCTCAAACTTTTAAGATGTCGAATCTCGAAAAAGCGAAGACTCGAACCATGTTTAGCGAAGACTCGAACCCTATATTTCAAACAAATTTACCATCTTATGGTAAATATACATTCTATCAAAAAAATTCAAAAAATTTGAATTTTGAATAAATTAGAAAATTAATAAATTAGAAAATATATAGAAATACATATTTATGCATATGAATTATTTAAGCAATCTTATTACAGTAATAAATTTTATCCAAACTTGTATTTTGTTGGCCAAAAAAAAATTCTGAAAAAATTAATGAATATTCAAATTATAAAATCTAAATATTTTAGTAATTTTTCTAAATATATTTAATAAATTATAATATATAAAAAATTAAGCACAAAAATATATTTTTATTTTTCTTCTTATTTAGTTTTATTTAATATATTATATACCTATATTACATACATTTTATATATATATATATATAATATTCAATTATATTTAATTTATTATATATTTTTAAATATTTATATTTTAAAACAACCAAGAAATTCCTTTAAAAAAAGTATAAAAATAAAAATTAGTATCTATGTTCTATCCTTAGAGGATATAGAAATGCTCATAAATATCTATATGTTCTAAGGTTCTATCAATAGAAAAAGTAACCAATTGATTTTTATTGCTTTAATTTAATTTTAATTCTCTGATATGCATTGCAAAGCAATCCACGAATGTTGTAAATATTCGCAAAATCTTCGGGTTGGACATTATATGCTGAATCAACTGCTTTCGACCAGATTTCAATCTCATTAATATTCTTGGCCACAGGAAGTTCCACTCTCCATAATGACCAACTCCAATGTCGACCTTGCTTTGCTTGAAGATCTTCTGTTAAATCTGCTGTATGCCAAGTCTTTCCTTTAAATTTAAAAAATTTTTTAAAACTTGATAATGGAAAATCAATAATAAACATGGAGAAAATAATGATAATTTTAATTTTCTTCTTACCTTTGTCGTTCGTTACATCGACACGAATTATTTTTCGGCCACCCCCAGACCATGCATACCCTATTTTATCAACATTTATATAAAAGTAACAATTATACATTTAAATTTTATTAATACAATACAATAAAACTAAATATGGCGTATCATATATAAAATATGTGTATGAGATATAATGATTCCAATTAAATTTTCAAGAATCAGAGATAATTTTGATATCCATTACTTGTCTTAATAAGTAAAAATGTTAATAACTTTTTAATTTAGCTTAGTTAAATAAAATAAATTAATTTTTAACTTAAACTAGTTTTAAAACTTAAACTTATTAGCTTTTTTAAATTTTAAGTTGAAAATTTTGTTTATCTCTAAATGCTATTTTTTTCAATAAAGTATTAAATATTGGACAATTAAATTTTTAATAACCATTAAATTGTAATAAAAACATTTTTATAATGTGTAATTTTTATAAGTATTATAAAATAAATAAAGATATTATTAGTTTTTCTTTTTTTTCAATTAAGTACAAAAAAGAAAATACATTTATCTTATAAAAAACAAAAGAGTGATGGCGCCCATTTTTGGGACCTCGAATTTCAAACTTTTTTCATGGTAAATAGTACTATTAGATGAAATATTAATCCCAGTAAAATTTCAAGATGAGCATAAGCATGGTTCCGAAGATACAAGAGGGAAAGTAATGATTTTTAGTCAGTTTTATGAGATATTATCACTTTCACTTCTTCATATCTAACGAACCGTGCCTATATGCTCATCTTGAAATTTCTCTGGGATTAATGTCTCATCATATAGTACTATTTGGCTTAAAAAAAGTTTGAAATTTGAGGTCCCAAAATTCGATCCTATAAAATGGACGAAAACAGGTCTTTTTGCCATCACTCTTTTTGTTATTTTGTTATTTGTTATTTTATATAATTAAAAAATTTAAATAAAATATAACAAATTTTTAAGTTACGTTTAATATAAATAATCAACGAAAAATTAATTTTCGTCGCGGTAGGCTCTCAGTTGATATACATACAAATATATATGTTATAATATAAATAATATTTTTAAAAATTAATTTTTGATTTAACTTAATTTAATCTTGATTCAACTTTAACTGAGTTTTTTTTGTTCGTGCAACTTTTAACACAACTAAATTAATTTTATAAGCCAAACTTAATTTATCCAATCCTGTATCTTAATCATTATTCTCACCACAAACCAAAATGTGATTACCGAGATTTTATCTCTTACCTTTTACTTGTATTTTTCCGTTCTTTACTTCAACTACGTCTAAATTTTGTGGATCGCATATTGCAGATGTTATAGGCATTTCTTGCATTGCAGGAGATTTACTGAAGTCTACATTATCCCAAGTTGTACTCGGTGAGAATCCTTTATAATCGCCTTGTTGCCACTGCGATTGACTTTCTTGTTTTGAAACGCAAATCTTACCTATTAAATGAAATATTTTGAGATGTGAGTACACATAAATTTAATAATAATAATAATACATAATCAATATTAATTTTCCATACTAAGCCATTTGACATTTCTGGCACCCACAACACCAGGAACGATCACTCTAATTGGAAAGCCATGATCTCTGCTAATTGGTTTACCATTCATTTCATAAGCTAAAATCACGTCTCCTCTTGGATCCATAGCTTTGGAGATAGGAATACTTACCCCATATGGTGTACCAGATGGATCTAAATCATATCCTTCAAACTGATGAAAAAAATCATAATGCTTTAGAAAGCGTTTTTAATGCAAATTACGGTTTATTTATAAATATATCCAACAATTATATAGACTTCAAGTAGATGCAAATACTTTAACAAGAAAAATTGAAAGAAAATTAGCATAAAATTTATAGGGATAAAAATTTGAGCTACTCTTTATTAAAGAAGATACCTGAACATGATCAAATGCATCTTCATTGATTCCCAAATCTTTTAATACATCACATAGTCGCACACCAGTCCATGTAGCATTTCCAATCGCGCCTACGTTCCAATTAATCCCTTTCAATTGTTTTACCTATAAATAAAGCGCTAAGTAAATATAATTATCATTCTGAACAATGATTCTTATTTTTTGCTAGGATTGGTTAGATAATTATTTAAAAGTTAAAAAAAAAGTTAATAACTTTTAACTTTTGTTAGCTTAATTAATTTAAAATGTATTAATAATTTTTAACTTCAACTAGTTATTCTTGACCTTAAATTTATTAATTTTTTTTCTAAATTAATTTTTTTTTATTTCTGAATACTATTATTGTTTTTTATAAGCTATAAACGTATTATTTTTAAATTAAAGTATTATTAATTTTTATGTTTATTTGTCATCAATTGTAATTGCCAAAAATATATATTTCTATATAAAAATCAAAATTTATTTGTTATTTATTATAAATTTTAAAAGAATTAACTAACAAAATTCTAATTTAATATAAATGTTTTTAAAAATTAACTTTTGATTTAACTTTATTTAATTTAATCTTAATTTTAATTGAGTTAATTTTTTGTTCACATGCAACCTTTAACTTAACTAAATAAATTTTATAAGCAACTAACTTGACTTAGTTTAAAAAACTCATTAACTTACCCAATCTTGTTTTTTGCATAGCATACCTTTGACATTTCTGAACGCCTATTTCCACCACACATAATAGCTGCTGTTATAGTATGCTTGTCATACTTTTTTAACGCCTCAAAATCAAGTGTCTTTATGGTTTTTTCTTCTATTGCTAATTCTAATTTATAATCTTTCAACTGTATTTCAGGTACTGGTAGATGGTTTCGAACATAAAAGAGATCACTAAAAGAAAGATGCAACACCAATAATTACATGTAAGTACAAAACATATTTAGTGGAGAAAAAACTACCAACTTAGATAACATATATAAAACTTACACTGGTGTAAGGAAACTTTCAACCAACATCGAAGATGGTGGTTCTGCGCAAAAAGGTTTATGACCATTGATTATTAAAGCCTTATGCCTAGCAGGCTCATTTGCATATGGATCATATACATCGTTGTTGTTGGATTTAGCATCCTCCTCCGATATATTTCCTATTCTCATAGATTCCAATAATGAATATATTTCAGGTGTGTTGTGATTGGCAAAAATTGACCAGAATGGATCAATAGAACCTCCTGCTGCCATCAAAATTTTTGAAGGACCACCTGGATGCTTGTCTACAAATTCTGTTATATCGTACACTCCTTGTCCAAAGGTGACCCAAATACGATTCTCTTTACTATCGTGTTTTCCTACTTCTTCTAAGGTGTAGACCTTCATATCCTTTCGTAATTGACCACATTGTACATTTTGCATTGCATTAAAAGTATAAACATTTCTTTTATATTTAAAAGTATAATAGGATATACCTAAAACTGATGCAGCGACAACAATATATGTTGCATACGACGTACCAGAATTTTGTGTACTTTTAGAAGATTCATATTTCTTTTCTGCAGAATATTGTTGATGTATATTAGCATAATTTCTTGTAATCACTTGTATGGATGGTATCCTCGATCTAAAATAAGTTATTAAAAAAAGAAATCCATATGTTTTATATAATAATCTACATGTATATGTATATAAAATAAAAAAATATCTCAAAAATAATTACTATTCAGTCAATTAATAGATACTTAAAAAAATGCAATGTGTGTAATACCTTTGTCTTATACTATAAAATATTTTCAAGTGTGAATTCATATTAGTTTGTAAATGAACTGTTTAATATTTCAAGCTTGTAGTAGTATCAAATAAGCAATTCAGTATTAATCTACGTACACTGACATTTTTTAAGATATATAAGACACTTATCAAGCATATCTTATTATGGTACAAATAAAAGAAGTAAACAATTAAAAAAACATTTTTAGCGCAAAAATATACAGTAATGTATTTTATAGTTAATTTTTTTTTAGAATGTTTTCAACTCAGGAACATACTTAGATGTATATATATTTATTAAAGAAAATTCTTTCAAAATTATAAAAAAATTATTTAATGCATTTAAATTATCCTAGTTGAAATAAAAAAAATTATCAGATATAAAAAATAAAAAAAGAGAGAATTATATAAAGGTCATTCCACAATTGGAAATGTCCCGTTGACAGTTGCGGACTGACCAATCAGCTGACAGGTCGCTTTGCTCTGATTAGTCGATCCGCAGCAGGGTTGTCTCCTATTGGTCGACATTTACGAATTCCACGAAAATAGCCACCAATAGGAGCAAGGAATATTTATGCGATGACGCGTCCTATGTGAAGCAGTCCTAAGTGTAGAAAGTGCAAACAAAGTAAATGGACTTAAATTTTCCGTATTGATATAAGTGTTTATACAAGCAAGAAAATATCTGACAGCTTTTTTTTAAGGCATAATATATTATGTACAGTATTCGGTATAAATTACTTAGTGAATAGTGCAAATCGTAATAAAAAGAGACTTATCGTACATCTGCAGAAATGGAGGTTGGTCTTTATTAATTACTATGTGTATATGTGTGAAAAATCAATGCTGTGTAATTACTTTCTAATGTGTATTATATATAGTTCCATATGTTATTAATATATTTCAATTTATTTCTCTCAAATTTTTGTATATTTTAACAATAATAGATATCACACTTATCTTAGACATAATATATTTTATAACCACTTATACCTATCTTGTTAAAATCATATGATAATGCAATAATAATATAATAAAGAAAAATATTGTAAGAAAGAATTATTAAAAGTAGAGGTATATTATAAATGATAATAAAACATTTTTTATTTCATGTGGAATTATTTTGTTACCTTATTATATATGCATATTTACATTTCTTTTTTAATATGAAATTATCTTGTTGCTTTATTATATATGCATATTTACATATGAAATTATTTTGTTACCTTATTATACATTTACAATATAGCTTGTGTACTTACAAAAATGACTTGTAGATAGATGAATGTTCAGCTGGTGAAGATAGCGGAGCAGAGGAAGAGGAAGATGAAGCTTCGACGCATGATTCTAGAACTGATAGTAGCAGTAGTAGTATGAGCGGCAGTAGTTCAACGACAGACAGTGAGGATGATAGTGCGGATCATGCTACGAGCAGTAGTGAAAGTCATAATTCTGCAGAGGAAGACGAAGATGAGAATGAAAATACAGAGTATATGATAAATATAGAGCCCTCTCACGCTTTGGTAAGACTTGTATCTTGTAATATTTTTGCTTTGTTTTTGTAAAGTTAATTAATTATTCATTTTTTGCATCAGTTTTTAATAAATAAATTAATCTTTGCACTTGAACTACTGCACTGTTGCTTTGACTGCCATTTGTTTATATTGTTATTAATATCTAATATAAATTAATTTTTAGAGATGGGAAACTTGCGTTGCTGCCAATACTAAAGTAAAATTACCACAGGATTTTTGTGAATATTTAATATTTTTAAGGAAATGCTAGATTATCCACGTTTTTGGAATGAATATCTTACTGAAAGTCAAAGAGAAACATTATATAATCTTTTACCTACTTTCCCGAAAGATTGCAATGTAGAGGCACAAATGGAAAAATCATTACAAATGCTATTTAATAGAGAAAATAACAGGTAAAAATCATTAAATACATTTTAATATTTTTTTATTAACATATATATATATTTAATATATTTTTTAAATAATATATTTAATAATGCTTTTTTTTTTTTTTTCCAAAATGTTAAATTATTTTTTGTAGAACAATTTAATATTAGAACATGTTGAGTAATATATTTGTTGTAGATTTGGCATAGCAGCACTGGATGCGTTTCACAATCATCTTTCTGCTGGTCACTATCGCCCTGATATCAAAAGAATACGCAGTTTAGTTTGCAGAGCGCAGGAAAGAAGGTTACTATTTGAGGAACAGAAACGTTCGTACGAATTAGCAAAGCAACTGCTCAAGTCGCGGGAAAGTCTACTGTCAAGTGCATATAAACAAGGTTTCAGTCAACCCTCGAATCGGACGATGTCTAAATTTCACTGGCGCAAACCAAAGCCAGTGATGGGTAAGTGCTTTCCATAATGCAAAATACTCAAATATCTTCTGGCTGTTCATATTTCTTCCATACTTCAGCCATTTGGCAGAGAAGTATATAATAACTTCCGGGCGACAATTTTAACGGGCAAATGAATGAAACAGTTGAAGAGAAGACTCAGCTGCGCTATATGGAGGAGCTGAACGCAGTTCGAGCGGAGCTTGGGACCGACACAAGACTGTCCGCCGACACGACGTCCGAGAATGAGGAAAATTATCCGTATTATCAGACGTCCGGGGCTAAGCAGAAGAGAAAACGGCGGTCCACCATGAACTTTCAAGGCTTGTTGGTTAAAGGCCTACAGCTCAACCACGAGGACGAGACGATTCGACCTGTATTTTCCACTCTGCAGCGAATGGAATATGCCCCGAGCAGATCGCTGTTCGTACGCGAACAGACGGAAGAGACTTATCGCGCCATGTTAATTGCGCATAAAAAACGACGAATGCGTCGCGATGTATGTATACAATCTGTTGTTTTTTTTGTATGCGTGTGTGCAGAGGTATATACAGAGTATGTATCCGATTGCAACCAACTTCGAGAACTTTTTCATTTTTGATCGTATAACAAAATGTTTCAAACAAAAGTTGTTCGATTTTTAAAGCAAGACGGAAGATGGCGCTACTGATTTTCTTCTGCAGGGTGTTTCTTAAGGTCATTTGTGTTTTTTTAAAATGAAACTACTATAATTTTTTATATAAATCGATTCTTCGCAATTTTCTGCATAAAAAGCTATAAGAATAAGATAGCTAAAAATAGATAGTTTACAAGATATTTTATATCTTTGTCACTAAAGATACATAAACTATGAAAAAAATATCTCGTAATATTCATTTTTCAACGATCTTATCTCAATTCTTTTATGCATAAAATAATGAAAGGCATAATGATTCGTTTAAAGAAAACATTAGTTTAAAGAAAACAGTTGTTTGTAAGAAAAAATATGTAAATTGCAACTAGCTACTTTTTTACATACAACTGTTTTTTTTTATTATAATACATCAATTGAGTCCTTTTATTATTTTATAAAAGTATTTAAATAAGATTATTGAAAAATGAATATTTTACAAGATATATATATATATATATATATATATTTCATAATTTATATATATCTATAGTGTCAAATTAAGATATAAAATATATCACATAAATTATTTATTTTTTCCTTATAAATTTTTTTATGCAGAAAATGATGAGAAATCGATTTCTATAAAAAGAAAAATAATGATTCTATATAAAAAAAAACTATATAAAAAAGAAATATCCTTCAAATGACCTTGAAAAAACCCTTTAGAAAAAGTCAGTAGCACCAAAGTTTTCTGTCTCCCTTCAAATCAAACAACTTTTGTTGGATATATTTTGTTGTACAATTAAGAATAAAAAAGTTTCTGGAGTGGTCGATTAAAATCGGACACCCTGTATATGTATTATAATCATTTATTTAAACAAAATTAATTAAATAAACTTTATACGTACAGATTCATCCGGAATTGAACACTCAAGGAATCGCGCTTGCCGATCTTACACAAAGATCGCAAATTGGTCAAAAGCACAAGTTTTCGGTTGGTAATTTCATGAAAGTTACATCTGCCAAGAAGAAAATCAAATTAGAACAAAATTCGTTGTGTCCACCTACATTAAAGTTCCCGAATTCCAATTCTGTGAAACTTGAAAGTGACAATAGTGATTATTCTCACACAACAGATGATAATAGACAGCTTAATGTCGTGGAAATGGATTACAATAGAATGTCAACACCTATAAAATCAGAACCACTTGATACATATGATACACATCAAATGATTAAAAAGAAAATGTAATTATAACTGTGATCATTTATGTTAGATAAATATAAATAATATAAATTAAGATATTTTATATATAATATATTTTACTTATTTTCTTTTATACTTTTGATTTACAGAAGTCCAGTGTTTCCAAAAAATAACAAATCGGTAATAATTAATAGTCAACCGCTAGAAATAAAGAAGGAAGTTGAAGATATGGAATACGACGAAGTGAAAACGGAATTAAATTCGGTGGTGAATGAAGACATACTAGCTGAAACTGAAGAGGAGGAAGAAAGTGAATCAAAGAAAGAGCTTGATTTAGATAGTATTGATATGATACAGTTACCTATTCAATTGGATGATGGAATTGATATACTCAATGATGTCAAGTGAGTCTCTTTTTTTAAAGGTCACTGTTCCAGGTCGTTTAAAGGTCAATTAAGTGTTTTAAAAACTAGAATAACTATATTTTTTTTTACATCTCATAACTTTCTATGCCGAAAGTTGCGAATAATCAATTTATATATACATATATATAGTGGTTCTATTTAGAAAAACATAAATGACCTTCAAATGACCTTGAAAAATTTTGTTGTACAATCAAAAATGAATTCTATACAATTAATATAATTGCAATTAATTGAAATAATAATCATATATATTCAAATTAATGATTTGATATCAGGTGCGAAAACGAGAGCGTCATTTCGATACCGGAAAAGGAAGTGATTGTACCACCGAGTGAAAATACCATAGATAATAATGGAGCGGAATTAATGCAAGAAACACATGCATGTTTCTTCTCCCTATTGCGAGATGCCTTCATGTCTAAGGGTGAATATCGCATGAGTGCAGCAGAGATGAAGGAGGCAGTGACGCAGTGGCAAAACAATCCTATTTCACCCTTGAATGACTGGTAATGTCGAATAAAATTCTGCCACAGTGTCAACTATTGAAGAAAATAGTGATTAATGGATATACATGTATTGCTAGGTATTCTATGGTACCTTCATGGCCTGTATTAGTACCACTAGCTCTAGGATTTCTTGCTGGCGAATTGACATATTCTCAAGAATTGGATCAACGACAAGAACGAGACCAAGAGCTTGTACCCTATCTGGAAAATAAAGGTCGAGGTGTATATGCATGGATTGGTGCAGGACGAGACTCTGATACTCGATTGCAAGATTTGTGTTCAAAATTTCTCATGTATAAGTATGTATTATAGTAAACATTAGCTTTTTAATTCTTGATCGCTATAAAATAGAATTGTTTAATTTATGACACTCATAAATCAATCAATTTATGAACGTCTTGAATTTTATTCATTTATTTGTACGTATGATAAGTTACGAATTAGACATAATTCTGTTATGAAAAAAATATTCAATGCACAATTTTACTTATACAGGGATGTATTGATACCACCGAACACTTCGACTACTACTGCTGTAACAATTACAAAACCACAGCAGACTCAGCTTAGCTCAGCTTTAAGCAATAGCGCGAATAATAACGCGAGCACAAGTGGAAGCTCGCAGAGCGGTAGAAGCGGAAGTCCCGCATTGGAATCTACCAGCATAGATGCCGGAGCCACTGGAACCGACTCGGAGCCACCTCGGCCATTATTTCCTACAGAGTGGAAAGTTCGTCCGTCCACGCCGGAGGAACGCGAGGAATTTCGAAGACAAGAACGTATGCGTTATGCCGCACCTCATAAGGCGTTTACTTATCGTATGCACGGCTATGCGTCCGTAGTCGGGCCAGTGAAAGGAATTTATCAGCATAACATAGGTATGAGTTATGAATTGCGATATAAAGTGTTTTTTTATATTTTAATATTTTATAAAAATATTTTTATTAATATTGACCATATATACATATATAACAAAATGTTTCAAACAAAAGTTGTTTGATTTGACGAGAGACAGAAGATGGTACTATTGACTTTTTTAGGTCATTTGAAGGTCAATTAAGTTTTTTTTTTTTTAAATGGAACCATTATATTTTTTTACATCTCTTATAACTTTTATGCCGAAAGTTACAAAGAATCGATTTATATAAAAAAATATAATGGTTTATTTAGGAAAACATAAATGACCTTGAAAAGCACTCTTTAGAAAAAAATATGTAGCACCAAAGTCTTCTGTTCCCCTTCAAATCAAATCAAAACTTTTGTTTAAAACATATAAATATGTTTTTAAATCGGCCAACAGAGCCAAAGCACAAAAAATTAATTATTCGGAACTGTACCTCTTGGTTTGAGATCACTAAGTTCCATATATAAATTAATCTCGAAATTTACATATGGAGAAATAGGCGCGAAAAATATAAGTCCGAAAAGTCGCTGAAACGGGAATCGAACCCGCGTCTTTCACTTTCCGGGCGACTGCTCTTACCAACTAAGCTATTTAGACCCTTTCGATCCAATATTTTTCATTTGTCTTTTAGTAGATGTTAGTAAATAACGCCGTGATTAGGCCAAGGCGTGAATAATTTATATATGGAACTTAGTGATCTCAAACTAAGAGATACAGTTCCGAATAATTAATTTTTCGTGCTTTGGTTCTGTTGGCCGATTTAAAAAACATATTTATATTCTTAATATTGAGAGCCGATAAAAATATTTCTTACTGATTTTGTTTAAAACATTTTGTTGTACATACAATCAATAATGAAAAAATGTTTTTGGGGGTGACCGATTATAAAGATGTAAAATTAATTAATTAAATTAATTAAGAATATATTTACATAATTTATTAATAAATTACATATATATATATATATATAATTAAGAATATAATATTATATTAATCAATTAATTAATTAAAAGTAATTAATTTAATAAAATAAAATTAAATTAAATTAATTAAATTTTTTATTATATTAAGCTTCAGGACAATCTAAAGCGCGAGAACATACATTGCTGGTGCAGGATCGTCCAAACTACGTAACGATTTTAGCATTAGTTAGGGATGCTACCGCTCGACTTCCTAATGGTGAAGGAACTCGAGCTGATATTTGTCAGTTACTAAAGGATTCACAGTACCTCAAAGTACAAGACAATGATGAAAAAGAAGGATATCTTCATTCTGTGGTGTCAGGAGCCCTCGATAGACTGCATTATGAAACAGATCCTTGCGTCAGATATTATCCTCGTCGAAAAGAGTGGCTTTATCTTCATCGAGGGCGGTCCGAATCTGAATTTGGTTTGTATTTATTTTATTAATTTGTTTTATATATATATATATATATATATATATATATATATAAAATGCAGGGTTGAGAAGTAACTCGTTACTTGTTGTAACGAAATTATAGTTGCAATTAAATTTTTTTGTAACTATAACTTTGTTCCTTTTTCTGCATCTGTAACTTAACTTAGTTTTTTGGTAACTAGTAACTAATTTAATAGTTACTTTTTAATAGTTAGTTTATTTAAAACTTAGGGCTGACAATTTTTTGGAAAGTTACGACTGTTTGAAATTTTATGAATTTTTTAACTGAAAAATCTGAATCCCATAATTTTATTCTATGTAAATAATATTAATTGTTAGAAGAAGTTAATTTATTACAAATTATTAATTTAATATATTTTTATTTTAAATTTAAGACAATTGTAATTTATTGTATATAAAATAATATAGCATATAATTAAGTATGTAATTAAATATATAATTTAGTATAAAGCTTGAAATACACAAGATTATTATACTTAATATATAATATAGAGACATTGCAAAAAAAGTAACTGAAACTAACTATTCGTTACTTTTTGAGTTATTATAACTGTAATATGTTATTTTTTAGATTCGATAACTGTTACTAGTTTATTAACAGTAACTGTAAAACTAGATACTTTTACAAAATAACTTTCTCAACCCTGATAAAATGTAAATTTTTGTATTTATACATTCAATTTGCCTGCATGATTATATAAAAATCCTTTTTGCTTTTTAGAAATGGTTCATCAGCAATTGCAAGGGATTGCAAAAAATAAAAAAAGCGTTGGTAGCACCGCACGAAACAAAGCATTACAACCAATTCTGAAATCATCAAATGTAAACAAGGAACAAAGTCCAAACACTAAGGAAGTTGTCAAAAAAGAAAGGCGGACAGCGGCTATACCCGCGCAATCTATCGTATCTAAGTAAATATTTGACATTTCATATGTATATATATATATGGCATAACTTATGTTTGCATGTGTTATATAATATACAGGATGTTCCATTTTAACTTTGATAATCAAATATTTCGATATCATGTAATTTTAGAAAAAAATGTTTCAAAAAATTGTATGATTTCGAAGGAGACATAATAGATAGTGGTAAGGGTTTAACCTTGGATAGTCGTTTAAAAATCATATCAAGGTCACTTTTAATTTTCTTACTGAAACTACTATTTTTTATTGCATATTCTTTTAGCTTATCTCGAGAGCTTTTCAAAACATTTTAATAAAGTGTTTCTCTCTTAAGTACTTTTTGAATTATAAGGTTTAAAGATTTAACAATTTTTTGACATAAAATGTAAAATATCTTGTAAAACGAATGTTGACAACTGAATGTTGTTGGTAATCTTACCTTAATACTATTATGCATGGAATAATGAGACTAATTGATGTAATTAAAACACGGTTGCTTTTAAGAAAGAGTTCACAGCTTCATGTTACAAATTACATACTTTTTTTAAAACAGTTATCTGTTTTCAATTGATTGGTCTCACTATTCCGTGCATTAAAGTATTAAAATAGTATGAAAAATAGTCAATTTCATTTAAAAAATTAACAGTGACCTTTAAACGACTATCCAAGGTCAAATCTTTGCCACTATCTTATGTCCCTTTTGGAGCTAAACAACTTTTATTTCAAACATTTAAAATTATATAATATCTATAAATATTTGACTATGGAAGTTAAAATGGGGTCTGTCATCCTGTATATAAAAAATATGTACACAAAATTTTCCAGGAAAGAACAGCGTAAAACTGAAAATAAGGCTGCTAGTGAACATTCCAGCTCCACTGAACCTTCCATCAATACCAACGTAGAAGTGGCAGTCAGCGCAATAACGACACCAGCCATTTCTACCACCGAAACTACCGTTTCGGGAGAGGCGTCACTTGTCACCCTGCCTTCGTCTACGACAACAACAACAAGTAGTATAACGAATGCGGATCGCGATTACGTCGCGATGGAAGCGAAACCGCAACTCGCTCCGATAACTATGATGAAAAAGGCGTCCGCTATTGGAGGGAAACCGGTTGCTATAGTCAAAACGAACGCCACGCAAAGTCTCCTGCAGTCGAATCAACACAATTTTCCGCATCACCAAATCCAGGTGTCTACATCCGCCGGTCTGCAAACCATTCGTCTGGCCGGGCATTCCGTATTGCAATCTGCGCAACAACCCATCTCAGCCAGTAGTAGTCCTAGTGTAACGAACGGGACTACGAATCTGACGACAATATTACCCTGTACAAAAATGCAAAGTCAGCAACAACAGCCGACTGTAGTCACGAATCAAGCAGGGAAGAGTATTTTACAAAGTACTAACATGAAGCAGCAACAACAACAACAACAGCAGCAGCAGCAATCGCAGCAACAACAATCGCACGTATTACCAGGCAAAACTCTCTTAGCATCACAGATTAAATTAGTCAGTTCGAGTCAAATTAAATCATTACTTACGGGTCATAGTCTGCAGGGTCAAACTATATTTATCAAACAGTCTTCATCGTCAAACAATCAATCGCAGCAACAATTACAACAGCAACAGCAACAACAGCTAAAGGTATCTTTAATTTTGCTATCATGTTACAATATTTAATTTTTTTATATTTATTTTAATTTTGAGCAAATTACATATAACATTTATATTTATATTTTAATTTTGTTTCAATATCTCAGCAACAACAGCAGCAGCAACTTCAACAACAGCGAGCTGTAGCTAGTCAACAGCAGCCTATGCAGCAAACTCCGGGAATGCAACGTATAATCGCACAAATTGGAGGAAAACCAATTGCCGTACAAATACAGCAATCGCCCCATCAACAACAGCAGCAGCAGCAAAAGATACTGGCGAAAGTTTTAACAAACAGCAGCGGAGGACAGATTATCTCCGTCGAAAGTCTGCTCACTCAGAAAGGATTGAAATTAGCTACTACTGGTCATGCGAATCAACTTAATAGGCAGAACAAACAAGTTATTCAAGCTCAATACCAAGTAAACTCATATTTTATAATACTAGAAAACAAAATATACATTAAAGAATTATTTTTGGGGACTAATGCGATTAGTTTAATTAAATTAAGTTTAGAGTTCAATTATATATTAATTTTTTGAAAAGATTGCTGCTAAGAAGTCAGATTTGTTTATAACAAATGACTCAAAGAACAATTGTATTTAATATTTTTTACTTATTATTGAAAGTAAAAAGATATTAACATAGTAAAAATTTTATATTGATCATCCCCAAAAACTTGATTTTTGATTGTACAACAAAATTTGATTTGAAAGGGGAAATGGCGCTATTGACTTTTTCCTAAAAAGAGCGTTTTTCAAGATCATTTAAAGGTCATTTATATTTTTTTAAATGGAACTACTATCTTTTTTTTATATATATAAATTAATTCCTCATAAATTCTATAAAAAGTTGTAAGGGTTATTCTATCTCACTTCAAATCAAACAACTTTTGTTGTACAATCAAAAATAAAATGTTTAGGGATGATTAATTAAAATTGAACACCTTATATATGTTTTTTAATTAATAATGTTAAAATAATTTTAAGAATTTTTTATGGTCATTTATGTTTATTTTAAATGGAACTACTATAATTTTTTTATATAAATTAATTCTTCGTAATTTTCAAAAAAGTTGTAAGGGTTAATTTTCTGTTCCATTTCAATCAACTTTTGTTGTACAATCAAATAAAAGTTTTTTTGGAGATAATTGGTTAAAATTAGACACTTCATATATGTTTTTTAATTAATAATAAAATAGTTTTAAGAACTTTTCTTATAATACATAATATTTTCAGGTGGTATCACAAGCGCAAGCATCTTCTAGTCAATCAAAAATAATAACAGTCAGTACTCAGCATCAGCAACAACAGCCACAGCAGACTCAGACTCTTCGAATGGTCACTCAACTCGCGGGAAAACCCATCGTATTAGCCAGCGGAAACAAGAACGTCGGTGTCGCGGTAAGCACCAGCGGTGGGAACGTAGTGTTAGGGAAGCAATCGACTTCTCAGCAGCCGCAACAGCAGCAGCAGCAACAACAGCAACAAGCACAACAGCCGATTATATTGCCCAGTCAGTTGCTTAATATCAAGACGCTGCACGGGCTGAAAGTAATTCCTACTCCGAGCGGGCTAAAAGCCACGAGCGGTGCCGTGTACGCGCGAGTCATCGCTCCTACGACGATAGCATCCACGCAAGCCATGCAACCGAATCAGCAACAGACGACTCTTCAAACGCAATCGCCGAGGAATACTTCGTACAACACACCTTGATAGGATTGATATTCGTGTATGTTCATGCTTAATATAACTAGTGTTTTTTTTAACGTTATGCAGTTATATAATATATTTTAAATTGAGAATACTTTAAGGATCCTTGATCCTCGCCGACCATGCCGGAATCGTGACAGAAGTGAGAAAATACACGTGCAACATTTTTGCGTGCTCCATTTTTAGATATTTCAATAACACATTACAAAATTCTTTGGCACACTTGTAAAATTGTCAAAAAATTAAGCTTTTCCCTTTATAATCAATCAACAGCTGTAAAATTACTGTAATATGAGATGAAAAGGAAAAGGAAAGTGTTTTTGGACAATTTTAAGTATGCCAAAGAATTTTATAGTTTCATTGAAATATCTATTTATCTAAAAATGGCATGCAAAAATTTTCGACGTGTATTTTCTTCATAGATATATCACATATAATACATGTAATAGATATTACATGTAATTAACATTAACATTACATGTAATTATGTACATATATTACATGTAAATATATCTATGATTTTCTCGCTTCTAACGTCACAATTCAACATGGTCGCGGCGAGGATCAAGGAACCTTAAGACTTCTGGGTCCTCACCATGTTAGATTATGATGTTAGAGAAAACACGTTGAAAATTCTTAGACGTCATTTTTTAATTCTTTGACGTTTTAATTCTTAGACGTCACATTTCTATAAAACACTATTTCAGCTTTAAGTAGCTGTAATGTGGCAAAAAGAACTGGACGGACTAGGCCTCATATAGTAATTTTGCAGCTGTTGATTGGTTATAAAGGGAAAAGGATAATTTTCGAGTTAATTTAAGTGTTAAAGTCATTAAGAATTTTTAGCGTACGTTTTCTCGCCTCTGATGTCACAATTCCTACATGGTCGGCGAGGAGCCAGAAGCTCATTATATACATATATTTCAGTAAATATACTATTGCACGATCACATTGCACTTTAGTTTCATAATTATACTAATATAATGTCTATAAGATTGAACATAAAAAAATATATAATAAAGATATATATCAATATAAATATGTCTAGAGAGTGATCTTATGACGTTAGAAGCAACAAAATTCATGAAAACAATTTAACAGAATTTTCAGATTCATTAAACTCGTAAAAATATTACGTTTCTTTTATATTTATCTTATCTATGTTTATAATGGAAATATTTATCTGATGTTTAATAAAACATTCATTTATTTGTATATATAAATTGCATCATATAATTAAAATTGTTTTAATATAAAATAAAATAATAGTCAAAATAGAAAGTAGATTTTTTCTTGTTTTCCTTGAAAAATGTCCATTCACTAGTCGCGAAGGATTATATTACTTTTTAAAATTATTTTATATATATGTAATACAGGATGATTCAAAACGAGTAACAAATTTTGAGTTTGAAAAATTATTCTGAATAAAAAATATAAATAAAATAAACCGTATTTATCATCAAACATACATACATTGAAGAATATTGTTTTCTAATTATTATTTTGTAAACAATAAAAGTATTCTCTTTGCAAATATAAGGATAAATCATAATCTTTTGAACGAGTTTCTCATACAAAATATATTGCTTTAAACATTTTGCTTTTAAATTATTAATTTTAATTTAAATTATAAATTTAAAAAATAATTTATAATTTTATTGTGCAATGAGTATATACAGATGTTTATCGTATCAAAATTCCTAAAATTTTTCTCAAAATTAGAATCATATTTTAAATGTCAGAAGGTGTTTTGTGTTAATAAAAGTGAATTTATCAAAATACTTTTTTTCTTTCAATGTGAACAAATTTATTCGACATGTATTTGCACCAAGTTTAATACAATCTCTGTGGTGGTCCCATGGTAGATTTTATATGAAGCGAACGCACGTTCTGCCAGTGTTTCTTCAACAACGAAACGAGGAAGTTTATCGAGAGATGAACATTTTGCACTAATTCGTCCGGTGTCATATCAACATGTCCGACAGCTACTGACAGACACAATACCTGTAGAGCAGAGTAAAAAGCGTTATCGAACATTACAAAGTTGTATTAATAAGGAAAATTTATGGACAGATATATACCTTCTTCATCTGAAACTTGATGGTGGCTTTGACCTCGTCGATTTTGCCAACCATCGATTCCTGGTGAGACAATAGTCCAGGGAATTTACCGGCTTTATTTAAACCGGGACCGAGAAGACGAGGAATTTGTTTAATCAATGACTCGCTCGCTAAGAACGCATCGTATTTCTTTGCTGCAAAAAGTGCACGAGTATATATGTAAAGTATTATTCAAATTTCAAACTTAAAAAAAAATATTAAATTTTTGATACCATTTTTTGAGTCCTTCCCAAAAAATAGATCCAAATTAAGTAATTTTTAAAGATATTATTTTGTATTATATATATATGAAGGATTCTTATATTTTTTTTATTAATAGTATAACAGCTTTTCTTAAAAATATTATAGAAAATTTATTGAAATTCAATTTTTATACTAATTTCCTTGTTAGCAAATTTTAAAAAAATTTTACTTGGAAAAAATATTTTTATAAAAAAAATTTTTATTTATTTTTTATATTTATTTATATTATTTATATTACTTTTTTATTTATTTTATATATTTTTTTATTTTTATTTTATTATTTCTATAAAAAAAGTAAGAAAATAAATGTTTTCAAATAAGACATGTATCGACACAGATTGAGATGCAATTTACTCTTTTTCTTTTTGACAACTATTATTTTTATATATAATAAAATAATGGTGTTTTTGACAAGATAATTGTTTAATAATATATGCAAAATCGTTAACATACCGAGTTTTTTGACGAGTTTCTTGTTTTTATTAAGCTTTTTCAGTGCCTCTGCATCCATAAATGGAATATTATTAGCTTTAGCCTCATCGCAATGCTGTTGATCACCAAGAACGCATACTTGCATTTTTGGTCTGGGGATATTTTTCAACCTGATAAAAGTCAAAGTTTAAATAACTAATCTAACCTTCATGAATTTTATACATATTTTATTGCAAAATTCTAAACTGTTAGAATAATATTCATAATTTATTTTCATCATATAAAATAGAGAACTATTCTAATACAAAATAACTATAATCTGAATGTTCTGAGTTTTAAATATTTTGCTACATTGTACACTTTTCAGATAATGCATGCAATAAAACATAAAATATTGATGACTCAATAGATTAACCAATAGATTAAGTAAATATGATATTATTACATGCATATCACATAAAATATAAATATAAATATAAATTTTTAATAAATTGATCTCAAAGAATTTGTTATACTCTAAAAAAAAGTCACAATTAGAAAAATTCAGACAATTCTTATTTAATGTGACACTCATAATTTTGCCTGAGCATTAGTTGAAGTATAACTTACCAACAGGATCTCTCTCATGAACCACGATCCTGTTTAATTTAAATAACGGTATAATTATACCTCCCCAATTTATTTAAGACCCTGGGTACAGGTCCGCCAGGTAAAACCTAGCTTCCTGACATGTTACACATGAGGCATTATTTTTTTTTTTTCAGTTAAATATAACATGCAAATCATTACTCAAAAAAATGCCTCAAAGTCAGGTAAAAACATACTTGACAGTTCCTGAGAAACGCTTATCCTTTTGCGGATCATAATTCTTCAAACCAATCTGAAGCTCTATAGTCTCCAAAAATTCCTCTTCTTCTCCTGCGAGTGTTGGAGCGCGCCGTTCACACACTCGTAAAGGGTATCACGGGAAACCTTGGATCTACAATTGCAATGGAAAATATGTAGAAGAATATTTAGAAAAGATAATATGTAGATCATGGAAATATACATATAAATTTATTTTTGATTGTAAAAGAAAATGTTTCAGACAAAAGTTATATGGTTTTGAGGGGGATATAGTGCTATTAGTTTGACCTTGAATAGTTGCTCGGTCACCTTCAATTTCTTAAATGGAACCACCTATTTTTATTTTTTCATGAAATACTTATCAAATTATAAAGGTTCAAAGTTAATAATTTTTTGACATAAAATGTAAAATATATTGTAAAATATTTCATAAACCATACAACTTTTGTCTGAAACATTTTCTTTTACAATCAAAAATAAAGAAATTATTTGGGGTGGGACATTAAAATAGGACACCCTGTTTAGAAACTACATTTATATTAAAGAAATATATAAATTGTAAAAAATAAATATAAAGAATATAATAAAAATTAAAAACAATAAAAATTTAATAAAAAATTAAAATAAAAAAATAAATATAAATTATAAATATAAATTAAATGTACAAAAAATATATATAAATTAAAATCATAAATTCGACTTTTGAACATGAAAATGCAACACATTCAATATAGGTAATAATTTTTCGGCCAAAAAATAACATGTGCTTGTTAACAATCCTAAATGCACGGGCGAACTCCGATAGGGTCGATAATAAAGATTTTTTAATATAATTATCGACAAAACTCGACAGATGTCGCAATAAAAAAGTTGTCAATCGACACACACATACATATACAGGGTGTCCCATTTTATATAATTTATAATTATATAAAAATTATTATACACAGGTTGTTACACATACATATACACATATGTATGCGTGTGTGTATTTATACAAGGTGTCCCATTTTTACTACCCCTAATATCTCTTTGTTTCAATGCATTTTATAATAAAACAACAAAAGTTGTACGGTTTCAAAGGAACTATAAAATAGTACCATTAGTGTTGACCTTGCACAGTCATAAAGATTACGTGAAAGTCACTATCACATGATAAGTTATAAAGTTTCAACATTGCAATATCGCTTCTGAGAATTTTGCGCACATGCAAACTGCATCTGGGGTAAAATATTTTGTACAGTTATCAGCAAACGAATAGATCGCCTGTGGAATTATTTTTTAAAACAACCAGCACACGAATAGATCGCCTCTGGAATTATTTTTTAAAACAACCAGCACACGAATAGATCGCCTCTGGAATTATTTTTTAAAACAACCAGCACACGAATAGATCGCCTCTGGAATATTTTTAAAATAACCAGCACACGAATAGATCGCCTCTGGAATTATTTTTTAAAACAACCAGCACACGAATAGATCGCCTCTGGAATTATTTTTTAAAACAACCAGCACACGAATAGATCGCCTCTGGAATTATTTTTTAAAACACCAGCACACGAATAGATCGCCTCTGGAATTATTTTTTAAAACAACCAGCACACGAATAGATCGCCTCTGGAATTACAGTTTTAAAACAACCAGCACACGAATAGATCGCCTCTGGAATTACAGTTTTAAAACAACCAGCACACGAATAGATCGCCTCTGGAATTACAGTTTTAAAACAACCAGCACACGAATAGATCGCCTCTGGAATTATTTTTTAAACCAGCACACGAATAGACCGCCTCTGGCACTAACTACTATAAAAACATAATAATAATTATCAATTAATGAAAAATAAACAAAGGATTGCATTATCACATGAAAAAATAAACAAAGGATTGCATTATCTTTCAGATAAAAAAAATTGAGAATTGCATTTTAATAAAAAAAATTAAAATAAAAATTAAAAATAAAAATAAAAATTGCATTTTAAACGTCTATTTGAATGTTCTTATAAAATTACACCTACATACATACATACATACAAATATATATATATATATATATATATATATTTATATACAGGGTAAGCCATTTTAATCTTTGCACTAAAATTTCTCAAAATTCAAAAGTTTAAGACAAAAATGTTTCAGATAAAAGTTGTATGGTTTCAAGGGGGACATAAGATGGTGTCATTGATTTGACCTTGAATAGCCATTTGAAGGTTACGTGACGGTCAACTTCAATTTCTTAAATGGAACATTATATTTTTTCTTGCATACTTTTATAGCTGACTTTAAGATCTTTCCAAAACACTACAATAAAATATTTTTTCATTAAGTATTTTTCGAGTTATAAGGCTGCAAATTTGCAGTATTTTGACATAAAATACAAAATATCTTGGGAAATATTCATTTTTCGATTATCATACCTTAATACTTTTATGCACAGAATAATGAGACGAATCAATTGGTGTAAAGAAAACACATAGTTGTCTTAAAGAAAAATTATCTAACTGCTTATTGCAATTTTCATATTTTTTTTAAAGGTAAATATGTGTTTTCTTTACACCAACTATATATATCAATATATATGTATCAATATATATATATATATATTAATACGATGTTCAGCATAACAATACGTACGATTTTTGAAATGTTTGCAACAGTTTAGAAAAAAATATATATTGTAAAAATTGATCTGTTTTGTGCAATCTATTACAAGCAATAAAAAATGAGGAAAAAAAATTTTTATAAAAAAAATTAGTGTTACCTTGAATTTTTTTAATAAAATCATATTTTTTTATATAAATCGATTCTCAATATTCTGCATAAGTTGTAATGTAGGATGGCCAAAAAAAGCGAATAGCTTATGAGATATATTATACTTTCATAATGTACATAAACTATGAAATATCTCATGAAATCATTTTCTGATTATTTTATTCCAATTTTAAATCAATTGGTGTAAAGAAAACACAGATATAAATAAAGATATAAATTGTAAACCAGCAGCTACATATTTTCTCTAAAACTCAAATATCTCGTAAACTTTTCACTTTTTCACAATTTTATCTTTATAATTTTTGATGCAGAATATTGTAACAAATTGATTTAGATTGAATATGATGCTTTTATTTAAAAAAAATTATGACATTCATTTTTTCATGAAAACATTTTTTTTTTAATTTTTCTGTTACGTAATAGCTTTGAAACAAATTCATTTGTACAATATAAATTTTTTAATTATCAGAAACGTCTCAAATATCATGCGCACTATTATAATATATATATATATATATATATATATATATATATATATATATAATACATACAGCATACATAATACTGTTACATACAGCACAAATACACAAAATATTACATACCTATTTATTATGCACATAAATGTATATAACGATTAGATAGACAAAAAAAAAGAAATAGAAGAAAAAAGAAATAAATAGAAAGAGAGCGAACGAGTGAGCCTTTTTATAAACGTCGACAAGCAATATATTATTATGTATGTATACATGTATGTGTGTATGTATATATACATATATATATTGCTTTATGATATATATTTATAATGTAAAGAGGCTAGAGAACTCATACTCACTATCTTTCTCTTTTTTTTCTTCAGCTTTCTGTATCTGTTAATTTATTCATTATATCCATGTATGTGTATAACAAATAGATGTATATAATTAATGTTTATTGTACTGTTTATAATGTTATATATATATATATATATATATATATATATATATATATATATATTTCTTTTTCTTTTGTCTATCTAATCGTTATATACATTTATGTGCATAATAAATAGGTATGTAATATTTTGTGTATTTGTGCTGTATGTAACAGTAATTCTGATATTGAATCAATTTTATGATATGACATAATACTAACCTTTTAAAACATGCTCCCTTTCTACTCAATCTGCGACCAGATAGGGGCAAACGTTTATTTTTGTTTGCACCCATTATACACTATATATTTAATAAATATAAAAATATCACTTTTAAAATATCACAGTATGTCTATCTATCACAATATTCGACACGTTATCACACGTTATAACGGTCGAGTCGCGCACTGCGTGTAAGCACGTATAGTACGTACCGCGTGACAAGTGAACCATCCCGCGCAAATATATGTCATTGCGCGCACACGATTTTGTTTACAAATATGTATATATAGGGTGTCTACATGCTACATTTTTAGCATGTACCCAATTTTTGTTATTTTTCGCAAAATTATAATTACACAATTATTTAATATAATTATATATAAAAAATTTTTCCCGCGTTGTATGTGTCGTAAGGAGATATATGTATAATTGATCGTTTGCATTGAATGTCACTATTTTCTGAAAAGTAAAAAAAGAGAGCTCTCTCTCTCTCTCTCTCTCTCTCTTTCTTGATCCTTTATGCTTATTGTTAGTATTCTATCATTTAATCAATGCAATCAATCATATCGTTTTACGGCAACAGCCAGTTACTCGTTCACTCACTCATTCATTCTTTTAAAATATGTCCATTTTTATACATAATTATGTAAATTTATATATAAAAAATAAGGGTGCATATATAATCATGTCAAATTTGTATATAAAACATATATATTTATATATATAAAGAAATACTTATTTATTACACTTGTATTATATATATATATATATATATATATATATATATAAATTTTATATAATTATATATAACAAGCACTTTTACTTAATTATGTATAGACATATTTCATAATATAATTCTGCGATTATACGTATACTTTTATATATTTCTATATAATGTATATTATTATATACACAAATTTTTGTCCCGGGGTATTTTAAACTTTTATTTTCTTTTTCTTTCTTTCCCATTCTTGTCTGTCTTTACATGCATGTTATTATGTTGTATGTGTATCATGTATAATTTGGATTTGTATGTATGTTGAGAAGATTGGAATAGATAAAATTTCATTACTTCATGTTTTTATATTATAAATGCAGCTTTTTGTAAATATCCGAAATAAAATAATTTTTCTACAAATATTTTAAATTTATCAAAATATTTTTTACTGCACAATTAGACTAATATTTTTTGCATTATTCTATCTTTATTAATTTATTCATAATAAA